TTCAAAAGTGAATTTTTTTCAATTCTTCAAATTTGGACCCATTTTTGACGATTTTCCACTTTTAACTAAATACATTTTGTTGTAGATTTCGGACCGCAGAACTCACTTCCGGTCTCATTTCTTTTATAATTCCAACGATTTTTCCAGAATCACATGGTGAATTATCGCAATTTTTAATAATTTCAAAAAATCCGAATATCACCTCGAATATTTCGAAATTATTGCTCCGTTACCCCAAACACGCCATATTTTTGGAATCAGTACGTCAAGATCTATAACCTGGAATTTTTTCAGAATTTTTAGACGACTTTTTCAAACATGAAATTTTCCTTCCTTCAATGATTTTCGAAATTTAGCTAAACATATTTTCTTGTATATTTCTGGCTACAAAAGCCACTTCCGGTGTCCTTTTTTCGATAACTTCAACCATTTTTCCAGAATCGCCGATTGAAATGTCGCAATTTTTAATGTTTTTTAAAAAATTGATTTTCAAACCGAATATTTCGAAAATATAACTCTATGGTGGTAAACAAGCTATATTTTTGGAAAGAGCACGCCGGGAGCTATACCTCAGAATTTTTTGTGAACTTTTAGACTATTTTTTCAAAATTAAAATATTTTCCAATACCCATTTTCGACCAATTTTTGACCATTTTCGAAACTTAACAAAATACATTTTCTTGTAGATTTCGACCTAAAGAAATCACTTTCGGTTTCCTTTTTTTGATAACTTCAACCGTTTTTCCAGAATCGCCTAATGAAATATCGCGATGTTTAGAAAATTTTAAAAAATTTGATTTTTAAACCGAATATTTCGAAATGATTGCCCTCTGACCATAAACACGTTATATTTTTGAAAAAAACACGTCGATCTATATACCAGAGTTTTTTGAGAATTTTTAGGCAACTTTTCCAGAATTAAAATTTTCAAAATAACCTTCAAATTTCGACCAATTTTTGACCATTTTCTAAACTCAACTAAATACATTTTCTTGTAGATTTTGGGCACGAGAAGCCACTTCCGGTGTCCTTTTTTCGCTAACTTCAACTGTTTTTCCAGAATCGCCCATTGAAACATCGAAATTTTTAGAATTAAAAAAAAAAAATTTTCAAACTGAATATTTCGAAAATAATATTGTGTGACCATCAACATGCTATATATTTGGAATAAGCACGTTGTGATCCTAAACCCCAGAATTTTTTGAGAATTTTTTGACTTCCAAAATTTAAAATTTTCAAAATCTCGACCAATTTTTGACCATTTTTGAAATTTAACTAAATACATTTTCTTGTAGATTTCGACCTCCGGAAGCCACTTTTGATGTTTTTTTTCGATAAGTACAATTGTTTTTGCAGAATCGCCCTTGGAAATATCGCAATTTTTTTAACCAAATATTTCGAAAATATTATTCGGTGACCCTAAAGATGCAATATTTTTGGAAAGAGCAGGTCGAGATCTATATCCCAGAATTTTTTGAGAATTGTTACGCAATTTTTTTTCAATTAAAATTTTTCCAATTTTTCAAAATTTCGACCAATTTTTGACCATTTTCGAAATTTAACTAAAAACATTTCATTGTAGATTTTGACCTCTAAAGCCACTTCTGGTGTCTTTTTTCCGATAACTTCAACTGTTTTTTCAGAATCGTCCATTAAAAAATCGCAATTTTTTGAAATAAAAAAAACATTATTTTAAAACCGAATATTTCGAAAATATTAACCCTGTGACCGTAAACATATATATTTTTAGAAATACATAGTACGTCGAGATCTGTATCCCAGAATTTTTTGACAACTTTTTCAAAATTAATTTTTTTTTTATACAATTCTTCAAGTTTCGACAAATTTTTGACTATTTCCGAAAGAAACCACTTCCGGTGTCTTGTTTTCAATAACATCAGCCGTTTTTCCAGAATCGCCGATTGAAATGTCCCAACTTTTTTGAAAATTAAAAAAAATATAATTTCAAACCAAATATGTATTTCAAAAATATTACTCGGTAACCTTAACTTCCTTTCATTTTCATTTTCTTTTAAATTTCGACCTACAGAAGCTACTTCTAGTGTCCTTTATTTGATAGTTTCAAACTTTTTTCCAGAATCACCCATTGAATTATCGCAATTTTTAAAAACTTAAAAAAAAATTGATATTCGAATCCAATATTTCGAAAATATTATCGCGGACCGTAAGTATGCCATATTTTTGGAAAGAGCATGTCGAGATCTGTACCCCAGAACTTTTTGAGAATTTTTAGACAACTTTTCCAAAATTAAAATTTTTCCAATTTTTCAAAATTTCGACCAACTTTTGACCATTTTCGAAAATTTTTCTAAATACATATTCTTGTAGATTTTGGGCACGAGAAGCCACTTCTAGTGTCTTTTTTCGATAACTTCAACTATTTTTCCAGAATCGCCCATTGAAACATCGAAATTTTTAGAATTTAAAAAAAATTATTTTCAAACTGAATATTTCAAAAATATTATTGTGTGACCATAAACATGCTATATATTTGGAATAAGCACGTTGTGATCCTAAATCCTAGAATTTTTTGAGAATTTTTAGACAACTTTTCCAAAATTTAAAATTTTTCCAGTTTTTCAAAATCTCGACCAATTTTTGACCATTTTTGAAACATAACTAAATACATTTTCTTGCAGATTTCGACCTCCAGAAGCCACTTTCGGTGTCTTTTTTTCAATAACTTCCATTGTTTTACAGAATCGCCCATTAAAATATCGCAATTTTTTGAAATTAAAAAAAAAATTATACTTTCAAACCAAATATTTCGAAAATATTACTCGGTGACCGTAAAGACGCAATATTTTTGGAAAAAGCACGTCGAGAACTATATCCCAGAATTTTTTGAGAATTTTTAGAAAACTTTTTCAAAATTAAAATTTTTTATACAATTCTTCAAATTTCGACCAATTTTTGACCATTTTTGAAACTTAACTTTCTTTCATTTTCATTTTCTTTTAGACTTCGACCTCCAGAAGCCACTTCTAGAGTCCTTTATTCGATGACTTCAACCTTTTTTCTAAAATCACCCATAGAAATATCGCAATTTTTAGAAACTTTAAAAAAATTTGATTTGCGAACCGAATATTTTGAAAATATTACCCCGTAACCGTAAGTATGCCATATTTTTAGAAAGAGCATGTCGAGGTCTGTATCCCGGAATTTTTAGACAACTTTTCCAAAATTAAAATTTTTCCAATTTTTCAAAATTTCGACCAATTTTTGACCATTTTCGAACCTTGACCAAATACGTTTCCTTGTAGATTATTTAGACCTTCAGCCTCCAGAAACCACTTCTGGTGTCCTTTTTTCGATAACTTCGACCGTTTTTCCAGAATCGGCAATTGAAATATAGCAATTTTTTTAAATTAAAAAATATATTTTCAAACCGAATATTTCGAAAATATTACCCCGTGACTGTAAACATGTATATTTTTGGAAATAGTACGTTGAGATCTATATCCTAGAATTTTTTCAGAATTTTTAGGCAACTTTTTCAAATTAAAATTTTTTCAATTCTCCAAATCTCGACCAATTTTTGACCATTTTTGAAACATAACTAAACACATTTTCTTATAAATTTCGACCTCCAGAAGCCAGTTTCGGTGTCTTTTTTTCGATAACTTCAAATGTTTTTCCAAAATCGCCCATTAAAATATCCCAATTTTTTGAAATTAAAAAAAAATGTATTTTCGAACCAACTAAATATTTCGAAAATATTACTCGGTGACCGTAAAGACGCAATATTTTTGGAAAAAGCACGTCGAGATTTTTATCACAGAATTTTTTGAGAATTGTTAGGCAATTTTTTTTTAAATTAAAATTTTTCCTCTTCTTCAAATTTCGACCAATTTTTGACCATTTTTTAAACTTGACTAAATACATTTTCCTGTAGATTTCGACCTCCAGAAGCCACTTTTAGTGTCCTTTATTCGATAACTTCAACCTTTTTTCTAGAATCACCCATTGAAATATCACAATTTTTAAAAACTTAAAAAAAAATAATTTTCGAACCGAATATTTCGAAAATAATACTCCGTGGCCGTAAGTATGCCATATTTTTGGAAAGAGCATGTCGAGATCTGTATCCCAGAATTTTTAGACAACTTTTGCAAAATTAAAATTTTTCCAATTTTTCAAAATTTCGACCAATTTTTGACCAATTTTGAAACTTGACTAAATACGCTTTCTTGTAGATTTCGACCCCCAGAAGCCACTTCAACCGTTTTTCCAGAATCGCCCGTTGAAATATTGCCATTTTTTGAAATTATTTTTTTCTGATGGGTCTTCAGTAATTTTGAGACAAGAACGAACTTCGAACAAAATTTTATACATTCGCTTGATAACAATTAACGATTCAGTTTGACTTTTCCTACCGTATTGCCTGTCACTCAAGATAGGTCGACAACGGTGAATTTCTGCCGATTTATCTCTAACCGGAATCACTTTACATTTGTGCTTTGCTCTGGTCACATAAATAATTCGTACCGAATCTCACGCAATAATTTAGAGCGACAACTTCAAATAAAAAAAAAAAGGTGGAGCAAATCGATGATAGCCACCTAAACAGTATGAGATAAGAGCCATCAAGCTGAAACTAGTAAATAAATCCCTTGTCATCCCACCCCCTCCACTATCAAAAGTGGAATAAAACGGCGTTATCTCCACTACCGACACACTAACTTTCCCACAATGTCACCCCTATCATCACATCTATCCGTTCGACCCAATTTCCACAATTTCTCCCATAACCCAACCGCAACTCTAAACACCTAATTAACCATAGCATCGCCAAGAATGAATAAGTTTCACAATTACTCATCCGTCGCGCGCAAGAAACCGATCGACTCCGTGACATAACACTCGGCAAAAAACCCCCGATTAAATCTGAATAATTGTCGCTTATTATGCCTTCCCCGGAAATCCCGCTATCAGCGGAAAGCGCACCAAATCCCGATAATGACGGCATTTCCACTCACTGTTGGTGTTCTCCTTATCGCCGTCCTCCTCCTGCGTCCAGTTCGAGCACAGCTTGCAGCCGTCCGAGGTCTTGGAGGTCCGCTGGCAGCACGTCCACTTCTTGCCGGTCCAGTTGCCGGGGTGGAAAGTGGTGCGGAGGTTGAGGTTGTTGGAACACGCTGGACGAATCGAGAAGTGTGTAATCGTGCAATGACAACAACAAATGCGGCGGATCGCCGTTAACTAACGACTGGCGGTTTCCACTTGCCAAATCCGACGCTCTGTTTAGCCGCAGACTTACCTCTTCGGAGCGTTTGGATCCAGTCGGTGCGCTCGGGGTCGTTCAAAGCGACGAGGTAGAGGATGTAGTAGTCGTCGGACACATAGCCGAGCTGGAAGGGGTAGAAGTCGCCCTGGATGCCGATCTCCTCGGGGGTGGCCGACAGCACCGCCGCCTCGATCGAGTGGACGGCGCTCAAGTCCACCCGACCCTTCTCCTTGCGTTTCTAAGAACACACGAAATGTTATTGAAACTTTATAAAATAACGACTACCAAGTACTGGTGATTTATGAATCCGTCTTGATTTTTTGCCATTGATATGAAATTTTTTGTCCAAAAAAATTATCGCATGCGAGATTAATAAATAAGAAGTTGTCGAATCGTTAAATATTGATAAGTGTGAGACACCAGATAAACATCAATGAATGTATAAAGTTGTAAAAAAATCAGCTACCCACGTCACAAACGCAGCCGCACTTGATCCAACAACCCAAAATCTAGTACAAACTCCGGGCTATAAATTATCACAATTTAAACATTTGTGGTAAACAGATAAAACATCCACGTTTGCAAATACTGACCCCATCCTTCAACAAAGCCTCAATTTAATCAGTGGCGAACGACCCATCTAAAATTAGCGCACGCAGCTAAAACCCAAAAGGGCTGACACAAAAAAATCAAAATGGAGCTGCAGCCCCATCGTTGATTATTACATTATTACTGAGCCCCCATGTACCCCATCACACTGTAAAACCCAATAAAACACCCCATGACGCGGAAAATCGTGTCCGTGATGTCCGTTCTAACAGCTCATGCAAGCAAACCACAACCGTCCTGCACGCCACAACGACCATTTTTTACATACCAGGTGCCGGAAGCCCCCTGAGCACGGCCGACGCTCTTAATCCACCTCTGTTTACAAGAATGGGGAATTTTGACACACGTAAATAGCAATGGACGGCCGCTGTCCCACCCTGCGTCGTGCGCACCCTCCCCGCCCTTTCGCCCACGCAGGGTGCAAGCCACCCTCGACGCCCTCACCTGCTCATTGTCCGTGTCGTAGTAGATGAGGAACCTCTTCGTCAGAACAAACCAGCGCCGCTTGTAGTTCACCAGGGTGTAGACCTTCTTGTTCTGCGACCTCTTCACCATGTAGCCCTCCTTGACGGTCTTCTCGGTGAGGAGGGCCATCCCTCACATTTTCCTCGTCGCGTTTAGGTTATGTGGAAGCATTCAAATTATTTCCCTCGTCATCTGGCCACACTAGTTCGCTGAAGGTCACGAGTGATTGATAACGCGGCCGGATAAAGCGCTGGATGACAGTCGAACAGATTTAGAATAAACTCGGCGTGAGGTGGGCACGCTTTGCTCGTTTTGTCGTGCCTCCGAATGAGGATTCCTGGAAGGGTTTTATGGGTGGAATGTTTATGCGGAGGACGCCCATAAACGGCCACTTTTGGCAGGAATGCGCCGGTTATGGCGCTTCCGAGAAATGTGCATCATGGGGGCCCTGGGCCTGGCTTGTTTACGGGGGGTAGGCAACGTGCCGAGCGGGGGCAACGAACGGGAAGGCCATTTGTCACAGTGAAATGTCAATTACGGGTTCGAACGGGCCAATGAGAGGCGCAGGATGAGTCACGTGCACGCATTTCAGCCAACACAAAAATAAATATAGGGAGATGGGGACAAGTGTTGGCAGCAACGTAAACATCACAGCGGCGCAGAGGAGTGGCCAGCGCCGCAAAACGCAGGCCCGGATTAAACGCATTTGTTAGTGCTTAAGTTGCACAAATAAAGACGTGAATCAAAATAATCTTTTTTTTTTCTATTATCACCCTGTTTTTTGGTGTAATGTTTAAATTTATTAAAGAATCATGTCAGCCAGTGTTGCAAATTTACCGATATATTAATATTTTTGCCCAATTTATCTTTATTTTTCTTAATATATTTGTATATTTTATATTTTTCTTTTATATTTATTGTTTTTAAAATTCGTTTTTTTTTGGAGACGGTAAATACATTTTTTGTTAATACAGTTAATTAAAATTAAGGAACTTATATCTCTAAAAATATGTACATTTAAAATGCAACTTACCTTAGCAATTACTAGCTCCGTCTACCCCCCTCTCCTTTTTTTGACATTATGTCATTTGCCAAAATCAATCTTGTCTTAACAAACACTAGCCCCACCCACCCGCCCTACATTTTTTTAGCGATTAAATCATTTGCCAAAGTCAGTCTTGTCTTAGCAAGTACTAGCCCCGCCTACCCACCCTCTATTTTCTTAGAGAATATAATTATTATTTGTCAAAATCAATCTTGTCTTAATAATAATAATAATAATAATAATAATAATAATAGTGCTTTATTACGCCGAAAGATATAAAGGCATTACATAAAGTACATAACAAAATATTAACATAACAATTCATATTAACATAATAGTAACAAGTATTAACCCCGCCCACCCGCCCTATATCTTCTTAGCGATTATATCATTTGTCAAATTCAGTCTTGTCTTAGCAAATACCAGCCCCGCCCACCCACCCTCTATTTTCTTAGAGATTATATTATTTGCCAAAATCAGTCTTGTCTTGGCAAGTAAAACGTGTTTAAGATGGTAAATTTTTGTAGGAAAGTATCGATTTTGCGATTAGTCTCCGCCTCTCGGTCTGACAACGAATGAAAAATTCTTCAGGACGAATAGGTGGGGCTTGTCTTTTAGGTTTTTTTTTTAATTAATACATTCAGTTGTCTTTGTATATACGATTACTTAAGAACATATTTGACATGGTAACCTCTCATAGAAAAATAAGGATTTTAAATTAAGCTCCGCCCCTCGGCTTACAACGAATAAAAAAGATCACCACAATTGAGATAGGGCGGGTGGGCGGGGCTTATATTTTGCCTTTTTTCTTAACATACGTAGTCGTCTTTTCAGAACAAGTTTTAGTTTTCTTTGCATAACACGATTATTTAAAAATATATTTCACATGGTAATTTCTCGTAGAAAAATAAGGATTTTACAATTAATCTCCGCCCCTCGGCTCACGACCAATAAAAAAATCATCAGAATTGAGATAGGGCGGGTGGGTGGGGCTTATATTTTGCCTTTGTTTTTCTTAATATACATAGCCATCTTTTCACAAGAAGAAACTTAAAACATGGTTAAAATGGTTTTTGCAGGGAAGTATGGATTTTGCAAATTTTCCATTATAAACATATTTTAAATTTCATGTTGTGAAAAGAAGTCTACACATATTTAAACAAAAAGGCGAAATGTAAGACCGCCGACCCGCCCTATCTCAATTGCGATGAATTTTTTTATTCGCCGTTTACCAAGGGGGCGGAGCGTAACTACAAAATACGTATTTCTTTACAACAAATTAAAAACATGTTTTTGAATATCGTGCTCAAAGAATACTATGGACACGAAGAAAAAAAGGCCAAATTTAAACCCCGCCCACCCACCCCGTCTCAATTGTGATGACTTTTTTAATTCTTAGAAACTCAAAACACGTTTAAAATGGTATAAAAATTTAGCATTTTAAATGTGTTTTAAGTTTCCAAGAATGTTTGTAAAGAAATATGGGTTTTGCAATTAGGCTCCGCCCCTAGGTCTCCCAATGGATGAAAACTTCATTACTATTTAGATCAGGGCAGCTATGGGTGGGGCTTAATCTTTGGCTTTAATTTTTTCTTAATATACACGATACTCAAAAACATGTCTTACATGATAATTTTTTATAGAGAAATAATAAGGATTTTGCAATTAAATTCCGCTCCTTGGGCTCTCGACAATTAAAAAAATCATCACAATTGAGAGAGGGTGGGTGGGCGGGGCTTATATTTTGCCTCTTGTTTTAATATATGCAGTCGTCTTTTTAGAACAAGAAACTTAAGACATGATTAAAATGGTAAAGTCTTGTAGACAAATATGGATTTTGCAATTAAGCTCCGCCCCTTGATCTGATAACGAATGAAAAATTCATGACAATTGAGAATTAATCTATGGTTTTATTTTTTTCTTAGTATACATAATACATATTCTTTGAAAAACACAATATTCAAAATCATGTTTTTAATTTCTCGTAGAGACGAGTGTTTTCCAGTTAAGCTCCGCCCCCTTGGTTCACGGTGAATAAAAAAAATCATCACAATTGAGACAGGGTGGGTGGGCGGGGCTACATTTTGCTTTTTTTTTCTCTTAACAAGTGTAGACCTATTTCGACAAAAGTTGATCATCAAAATTACTATCAACGCCAACCTGGCAAACGGAGTTTATAAATGATAATTTTCAGCTCTAAAAGCAACGTCAGCTGAAACAGCAAGTTTATAATGCCATTTTAAGGTTATGGTAAACATGGTAAAAGAAATAAAATTTATGCGTTTATATAAGTTCTTGCAATGGTGTTTTTTTACGAAATTTACTTAATAAAAGTTTGAGATAGCGTAATTTTTATTTACAACAAGAGGACAAAGTTTGGTTAGTGTTTTACAACTTTTGCAGTAACCTTAAATTACATCTAAAATTTTATACTAATTAGTCCAGTAGTTTCGGAGATTACCCTCTCTAACAAAATCGCCAACAAACCGACAGCAGCCAGACAGATGGGTGAAAACGGGAGTCGACAAGCTGTAAAACGTCAAAACCCATGAAGTTAGACAGTTAAAACGACGTTATCGCCAACTTACCACACAACTTTGTTCCATTCGAGAGCCTCTGATTGTTTCTAGTCCGGGCCTGCCTCCACAACCGCCACTGCGCTGGTCGCCTGTAATTTTTATGTTGTTTTCGTTGCTGGCTCCACTGAGCACGGAATCAACATTAAATAATAAACATTTTTGATACCGCACTGGTTTTTTCTTCCATCCGAAGAAAACATCAGCCTCATGTTTGTCTCTGTCCCGTTTTTTGATGCCCATCTCCGCGTGATAACGACACCGCGATAACGTAGCAGTTGTGCCTACCCGCACTTAGACCTACCCGCAGCCGTTCTCGTCCGGTTAATCTTAGTTTCCCATTTCCACGAGGCGGGATGCTCCCTGCCCATGGTCACGTTTTCCACGTGAAAATCCTCCCCCCCTCCCGTGGATGCCTCCCGGTGGTCGGTAGTTCAAACGTCCGAAAATAAGCCTGCTGTCCGTTCCTCAATATGTCTGTTTGTCAAATCAAATCGGACTTGAGAGGAGTGCGCGTCGTCTTTTGAAGAATGCACCTCCCGATCGAATTTTTTTGAGGTTCTTCAACGTGTCCGGTCGAAAAAATGACGATTATTGTGTTTCTGATCGATACATCGGCGTCAATGTTACAAAGGTAATGGTTAGAAATTCGATTAAAAAAAGGTTAACTGGTTGCCTGCATTTCAGGACGTACATAGGTGGCCGTACTACACTTCTGGACGTGGCGAAGTCGGCTGTCGAGACTTTTGTTAAAATTCGACAGAGGAGTATGGACAGTCGGATTGACAGGTACATGCTTTTAACGTTCGAAGAAACCCCAAGCAACATCAAAGCGGGTGAGTTTTTTCCTCATTGACAATAGTTCGATTTGATCTACCAAACGTCAAAGCCGGGAGTGTGATACGGGCTTAACGCGGTAATTTTGAATTGCAGGCTGGAAGGAAAACTTGGCGACTTTTATGAACGAGCTGAAGAATTTGCAGTGCTACTCGATGACGACGATGGGGGTGGCGGTGAAACAAGCGTTCGACATTCTCAATATAAATAGGATGACTTCGGGAATCGACACCTACGGACAAGGAAGGTGCCCATTTTTTCTGGAAACCTCAGTCATTGTTTTAATAACTGATGGAGGAAAACTCACCACAGGTAACCAGGATTATCGACAAAACGTTAAAAACTAGTTATTTAATCAATTTGTGTGTATGTAACAGTGAACGGCGTCCACGAAGAGTTCAACCTCCCGATGCACTCCCCGGTCCCGGGGTCCGAAATGACCCGGGAGCCCTTTAGGTGGGACCAGCGCCTCTTCGCACTTGTTTTGCGCCTCACCGGTACTCCAGCTATTGAAAGAGACACTGGTCTGGTCCCTAACGACTCCAGCCCCATTGATGCTATGTGCGAAGTGACCGGGGGGCGCTCCTACTCGATCACGTCGCACCGAATGCTTAATCAGTGTATTGACAGTTTGGTGCAGAAGGTTCAAAATGGCGTGGTGATCAACTTCGAGAAGATAGGTCCCGATCCGCCGCCCCCACAGTTCGAAAAGGGGGATGACGGGAAAGATGAGGTGAAGGAGCCCGAGTTTGACGATAGACTGGTGAATCAACCCATTCTGTCCACGTCGTGGCACAACTGCCGGAAGATGATCTACGTACCCAAGAGTAGTAAATCGTACTGTGTGGGTTTCTGGCCCATCCCTGAGTCCTTCTGGCCTGAGGTGACGGCGTCGGTGTTGCCGGCTCGGTCGGCGCACCCCAACATCAAATTCACCTGCACTAGCTCTGAGCCTCTGGTGATTGAAAATTTGCCGTTCGACAAGTACGAGCTGGAGCCGTCGCCCCTCACCCAGTTTATTTTATCTAGGAAGCAACCCAAGACGTGCTGGCAGGTGTTCGTGGCCAATAGTTACAAGAACTCGGAGGTGGGGCACCCATTTGGGTACCTCAAGGCCAGCACGAACCTCAACTGCGTAAATTTGTTTGTAATGCCGTATAACTACCCGGTGCTGTTGCCCCTCTTGGACGAGCTGTCCAAAGTTCATAGGTGGAAACCCACGAATGAGTGGCGCACCCAATTCCAGAACTACTTGAGGACGATGCCCGCCTACTACGCCGGTCCTTTACGACGAGCCCTCACCCGCATGGGTACTCCCTTAGCCCTCGCCCAAACCCTCATCCCCGAAAACTCCGAAAATCTCAGCTACTCAGTCTCGAACTACCTCAAACGGCTCAAAAACCAAGCCAAATCCGAGTACGACAAACTCTGCAGCGAAATCACGCTACGACAAAACACGAACAACCTCAAAAGCAACTCGGAACAAGTCAGGGTCCTACCCAAGGTCACACTGAAGAAAGACCTCATCAGCCACCCCCTCCTCGCCGACAAGTTCACCGCTCAGCGCGACCAACTCATCGACCAATCGAATTCGTTCATCGTCACCCTCGACAAGGAGCGCCAGAACGTCAGCTTCAAGAACCCCTTCGACATCCCCCGCAGCCGCCTCATCCAGCAGGTGGTGCGAATGCGCAACAACTTCCTCCAGCCCGACTGGATCTCCCTCGACCAAGACAGCGCCCACTCGCTGCCCATCTCCCAGATGGGCAACTACCAGGAGTACCTCAAGCGGCAGACGCCGCAGCTGCGCGAGATCGAGTCGGCGCCGGTGCGCCAGCACATGTTCGGCAACCCCTTCAAGATCGACAAGAGGATGATGGTCGACGAGGCGGACCTCGACCCGGTGGCCTCGTCGCCGGGGGCCAACCGCAACAACAAGCGCCCGAACCCGGCGGACATCGGCGGCCGCCTGCCGCTCAAGCGCAAGCCCGGCCCGCTGCCCAAGGCCTTCTCGATCCGCAGGCCGAGCGCCGGCGGCACGCCGCCCCCGAGCCCCACGCCGCTGGCGCCCTCGCCCGTGCCATGGTACATAATTTTTAAATTAACTAGTTCATAATAATAATGATAATGATGATGTTGTGTGTAGGACCAGTGCCATCGAGAAGGACCTGCCCTCGTTCGACGAGCGTCCGAGCCTCATCGCGGTCAACGGCCTGGACAACAGCGCCTCGTCCAGCGAGCGGTCGCGCTCCCCCTCCCCCACGATGGACATGCCGTCCTACAGCGTCAGTGAAGTGAATTTAGCCAACAGGAATTCGAACCCGTTCGGTTACACGAATTCAGGTGCCTTAGATACTGCGACGACGAACTCGTTGAACGATTTTTATCCCAGTGTGTCGGTTAGTGACGATAGTAAACAGAGTATATCGCAGATACTGAAGGAAGCGAACAGTATTAATAATAGTGTGGTTAACCACCAGGTGGAGGTTAAGCCGAAGGTAAGGGTGCGCAGGCGCGGGTTTGGTTACTTAGGTTTTTGGTTTGCAGGTTGTGGAGGACATGCGCGAAATCGAGGTGCAGAACAACGAAATTCGGAAGCAACTCCACAAGTTGGTGAGGCGGCCGGGGAAGAACTTTACCGAGTTGTTTGACAACATTAAAACTTTAAAAGGCAATACTGAAGTACAAGTTAAGATGGTTGAGTTGATTATTAAGGAATCGTTGAGGTTTAAGAGGCAGCATTTGGCGCACTTGTTACAAGAGTATATTCAGAGTTTGTTGAGTGTTGAGAATAAGTAAGTTAGTTGCGCTGTACATATTTTTTATTTTATTAGGATGTTGATTATTAGTAGTATATGAAGTGGTATTTATGGACCAGCTCATAGCGGGCACTTGAAAAAATCCCGATAAAAAAACAGCGTGATTTTACTTTATTTTAAGAGATTGTAGTTGTTTTTTTGTTTTTAGTGTGGTACTACTGACTGTTGTTACCAATTACTGCTCAAAATCGGTTTCAAGCCCGGACATTTTCAAAAATTATTAAAATATAAATTTCAGACGACAGTTAGACAATCTTTCTACTGAGGTTTTTGATTTTTGAAATTTTCGTACGGGTCCCTACTAAGTTTAAAATAACAAGACAATGAAGCCACTTAAAACTGTTGTCAAGGAGTATGAGTAAACAAAAGCGGATGTCGTGGATTGTTAGATCCGGCTTACGTCAGATCTGTCATACTGTCAACCTAAAATCGTACTATTGAAAGAATTCTCATGCTTCTTTTCAGAATGATTTGTTGGTTTGTGCCTAAAATTAATATTGTACAAAGACTTAAAATCCCCGGATATCTTAAGAACTTAAGTCGACTTAGAGGTTAATCTACGTTAATATTTTTTCTTACTTTGAGTGTGATTCTAGGATGTTTCTTCTGTTTTTGAGTGCAATTTCGTCTGTATTTGTACGACTAGGATCTTGTGAACTAAAACTACTGGCGAATCACATATGTTTTTAAAAAGTCGTTCGGAATTTTATGTCATTGAAGATTTTTACAAGTTTTTTAATCTTCTCACTCCTTCAACAAAAATAATATGTTTTAAAACAACTTTTAAATCTTTGAAGCAGCCGAGAAATTAATTTTTAGTTGTAGTTTTTTTACACAATTCTCTGAAGTGCCCAACCCAGCTGGTCCAGACGTAAAACTTCACGCACTACTACTATTTATTTCAAGTGATTACTTTTTTAATTAATTTTACAAAATGAAATATTTTCTTATAAAACTATGAGATTTTTATAAGAATTAAATGTACTTTTTTAAACTGTTTGATTCAGTCATCAGACTCCTGTGCGATTAAAAATAGAACGACTAAAGCGCCTTCAGATGTCAAAAACGTCATTCCGAAAAAGTTAAAAACGATAATTTCAGGTTGCTGCAAAAAGTGAGGATATCGAACGAATCGTGCCGTGTTTAGAAAGCTTGGCGATAAGTGTGGTGCGAAGGAGCGAACGAAGCTCGCGACCCCTTGCAGATTTTGTTTCACAGGTTTATTTATAGTTTGAGTTGAACACATTATTGTTTCTACGGCTGTTTTTTTAATACATTAATCAGTTCAGAGCGTTAATTAATTGAATAGTGGTCTACATGTAATCATTTTATTAATTTTAAGTACTCACAATTACGAATTAGTTAATTATTTATTGATTACTAACTTATTATTTAGATTAATTTTCAAATGATCATTTTATTGCAACAACCCGTGTGGAATATTTATGACGTCATTATTTACAAATATTTCCTGTAAGGCTCATTTATCAAGTGGGTGGTGCGAACGCAACTCTAGGCCAATTGTGCCAATATTTTTCTACGCGAAGTTACAAAAAAAAAGTGTAAATAATTTTAAGGTGTTTTTTATAAACGAGAGTTATATAAGAAATGGAAACAATGACAATTTTGTTTAAACTGTTTTATTCAGTTCTATTCAGACATCCTGTGCGGTATAATACTCAAACAAAAATCATAAAAAAATACAAGTAGAAAATATAGTTCTTATCCTATTTACAATAATCGGTAGAGCTACGAAATAAGACACTGTGGTCCGTTGTGTAAATTGTAGGCGGGGTGATTCATCGCTCGAACCTTTACATTTAATAACACTAAAAACATAACCTCACTTGTTTGTCGCTGCCACATTCGATTTCAAATTAACGCAATCAATCACCCCGCTTGATCGAGAAGGCCACGCTTCAGCCTTGTCCGTCTTCTCAGCGCCACCTATGATATGTCAGCTACCTTGTATAAACCTAACCTATGGAAGTTGGACGGGATTCTCTTATAGTACGAAAAATTGAGCCCCCAGGAAATACGCCCGATTTATAACCCTTCATGCAACATGTTGCCCCACCTAATCTCGGGTAAATGTATTTCCTGGGCCGTATCCTAGAACCTGTCTTTCCCCGCAAGCATGTCATTGTCGCTCAACATCTGCAAATCCTGGAGCTCCTGGAATTTCTCGTGATCACGTATATGGGCGTAATTTGCCGCCAGACACATCAAGTAGTGCACCTGCAACCCTAGTTAATCATTGCTACCAACTAAAACAACAACTTACCAGGCTTAAAATCACCAAAACGGAAGCCACAGTGGCTAGGATCACCATAACTTCGATTTTTTCGGTGTAGTCTTTACAGAATGCTTTGACGTTGTGGTCGCCACAGACTTTCATGTGCTCTTGGCGCGTCCCCGCGGGGAACAGAAAATCTATAAATTTTTGATAATTATAAATTAATTACATTAAAAACAAAAACTCACAAAATTGGGTAAAGTCAATGCAATCCTGGAACGTCGCCACTCTTTCGTTCGCACACATCTTCCAAAAAATCGTAAACAAGAACGTCGCAATCACCAAGAAAGTGAAAATGAGGATCCAAATCAGCTGCAAGATGTACGTAATCGCCATAAACTAAAACCACTTTCTTACTAATTAGCTCTTAATGATTTCAATTAATTACGATAGCGCAGCTGATTCTTCCACCCACTCGGGATCTCCACGCTCTGTAAACTTTATGTCTTGTCGCTCCCGTCGCCAGACACCCTACTGTAAGGATCATGAGCCCCAGGGCCCCCATGCACGCTCCAATAATCACGAAAGTCATTTTAACCGCATCCACCCTGAAACCCCCTTGTCAGATTTCGACGGTCACGTTGTCCACTTACCAGAACAGCTGCATCTTGAACACATCGCTGAACATCAAAACCGCAAGCGTGGCCCCACGGTACATCGTACCGCAGAAAATCACCACTCCTAAGGCACATTGTATCGTTGCAATGAGTGTGGCGTAGGGGATACGCGTCAGGCACGAGTCGCAAAAACCTGGAAAAACGTGAGGTGAAGTCGAAATTGGGGAGGGACATACCTTTGTCAGGGTTTGTTACGATGGTGTTAAGGCTTAGGTTTGACCTGATTAGGGCGTCTTGCTGCTCCAGGTCGAAGGAGGTCTCTTGGGGAGGAGGACGAGGGTCGTGCATTGTTAAAGGGAGTGACTAATAACGCGATAAAGGGGGTGATACAGGGCTGACTAACACCAACAGGTGCCACGCCTTCAGATAAGATAAAGATAATTTATGATTGGCGATTGATAAGAAACGTGATAAGCGCTTACCCATTTTGGCAGTCGTGAATGTGTGGGGGTTCACCTAATTAAATTTAAATGGAACGGGACATTACTGGGTTAATGACTTTTTGGGTTTCGTAAATAACTAACTGTCACTACTGTCATCTGTCAAAGGTGTCAATCTAGGGGAGATTAGCTTCGTTGCTTTGTTCTATTTAATTAAATGCAAATATTTATTAGTTGTGTAAAATAAACACGTTGATAAATAAGTAATAAACTTAATGAAATTCAGTGATAATAGAAGAATGTAAACGACTGTTTAAATTAGTTGACGTAATCCCGTCCTGCGTTTAGCGCATCAGCTGACATTTGTAAACAAATGTGCCAATGTGCATGACTTGAAAAAACCAACAAAGATTCAGACAAAATGAATCCCTGCTCGTCGAACTTGCAAAAAGAAGACATTATTTTGCAAATACGGGACTTGTTGCGTAAGAACAACGTCAAGTTATGGTTACCGCCTTATTACAACGAAAAAAGTGGCTCATCTCAGGACGACTTAAAAGTAACCTCACTTTTTTGTTTGTCGTTTTTTAACCCCGAATTTCTAGAATTTGGCTCAAGATTACAGCACCAGTATTAACGCATCGGCGGACGAATGCTTCGAAGCCATTTTAGAACTCCAGCGCAACTCTTTGGAGAACCTCAAACAGAACAACCACTATCAAGAATCAGGCGAAGCCACTCTAAAAATCAAAGTCTTGCACCCAAACAGCCCCCCTCGGATGCTCACGAAAGAACTCCTGCTGTCTTTGCGGGGCTGCGACGTCAAGGACATAATCTCGAAAGAAACCAGTATAAGTCCTGACAAGTGAGTCCCCTTTGACACTCAAACTTCTCACGCTTTAATTAGATTAAAACTAATTCACGCAGGAAAAGTCTTAAGCGACGTGGACAACTTGAGCAGCCAAGGGGTGAAAAACGGTCAACAAATTTTGGCTGTCACGTTTTCCGAGCCTACCCCTGAAATGAAAGAAACCGAAGACCAAATTCGCGAACTAGAGGGGGTGAAAACCGATTCGCAACTCCTGGCTTTAGACAACCAGTATATGGAACTGGAAGACCAGTTCGGCAACATCGTCAAGATCCCCCCGGAAGAGAAAAAGGCGCTGATTGTCGCCATGGCGCTCCACGAAAAGGGGCGCACGTCCTTGAAACGCGAAGACTACTCCCGCGCTCTCGTTTTCTTCCTCGAAGCCGACGAAGAATTCAAGCGTTGCAACGCCCAAATTTTAAACTCCGTCGATAATTACGCACTACTTGATTTGGATATCGCCTGGTGTTATTTTTGTTTGCAAAGTGTTGCCAACCTCCCAGAGGCGTACGAGAGGTTGAAGCGGTGCGAGGAGCGCTTCCATAGCAGTTACGGACCGAACTTGGAGCGCCTGCAAGCTCTGAAAGGGGCGACAGGTGTGCCAACTTGACCAGTTTTAGACACAGATTAATTTTTGTTTAGGTAACGAGGCGGCGCTGCTCATGCGGCTACATCTGCTTCAGGCGATTGTTTTATACCACAAGAATAAGCGAAACGAGGCGTTGCAGCTGCTAAAGAAAGCTAAAGACGAGCTTTCGGTGTTGAAGGTCGATGATAATAGTATTACTGTGTTGGTAGAACTGGGGTACTCGATGGCGGAAGCTAGGTTAGGTTTGCGGGCCACTGGTGGTGACGTCAACAAGGCTGCCAACTATATCGACGAAAACAGGAATAGTAGGGTGCAAGCGCGCCAGAAGGCGAAAGCTGAGGAAATTTTGCAGAGGTACGACACTGTTGCCAACTATGTTTTTTTTGTAAGTGGGGTTATTGGGGTTGTAGGAAGAGGATGAAACTAGGGATGTGTGTGGACGGGAAACAGTACGTGGACCCCAATTTTGTTAAAATCTTGGTCAATATGGGTTATAATAAGGAGGCGGCACGTGTGGCCTTGAAACATTGTAACAACGTCATTTCCGATAGTGTGCAATATATACAGGAGCATCCACAACCGGGACCTAGTCAGAGTCGGAGTATCGAATTTTTGGCCCTGATTAACGATCTAGTACCCGAGGTAAGTGGGGACGGGTGAGAGGACTCCTCGACTTATGTTGGCAACAGTGTTTGTTGACGCGTTTTACTTTCGACAAATTGACACTAGATTTACAAGAAGATTACAAGCTGCTTACTGTTTCCTTCACTTTAATTTAGGTCACATGAATTACAGTTCGTTGTCTGAGAACTTGTTTGATCTACAGACCAGAGCGCACTCAAGCCAATGTCGACTCTAAGTTTCGACCATAATTTATTGCTGTTTCAACTTTCGAAATTTTAGTTTCGACTATTATTTTGTATTATGCTTTCTTTTTTTTGATGTGTGTACATAGTTTTCACCACAAGAAATTGAAAACATGTTTAAAAGGGTTAATTTGTAGAGAAGTGTGGTGTATAAAATTTACCATTTTAAATATGTTTTCACTTGTTTGTTGCGAAGGGAAGACTATGCATATTAAGAAAAAAAAGACAAAGTATAAGCCCCACCCACCCACCCTTTCTCAATTCTGATGATTTTTTTTATTCGTCGTGAGCCAAGAGGGCGGATCTTAACTGCAAAATCTTTGTTTCTCTACAAAAAATTAACATGTGAAACATCTTTTGTTACTGTTGCCATAGTAGGGGAGAGAGGGTTACACAGTCTCCTTTTTTCAGAATTATCTATTTTGAATAATATGATAATACCTAAAACACGTTTTGGTGAAAAATTCATCACATTTGAGATTGGGGTGGGTGGGCGGGGCTTAATTTTTGGCTTCTTTTTTCTTGACATATGTAGTTTTGTTTCAATAACATAATACTTAAAACATAGTAGTTTCTTGTAGAGAAATAAGGAATTTTGCAGTTAACCTGTCGGATCACGACGAATAAAAACAATCATTACAGTTGAGAAAGGGATGGGTGGGTGGGGTTTGTATTATGTTTTTTTATAATATGTGTACATAGTTTTTTTTTCATGACAATAAATTGAAAATATGTTTAAAAGGGTATATTTGTAGAGAAGTGTGGGAGATGAAATTTACTATTTTAAACATATTTTCAGTTTTTTGGTGTGAAAGGAAGGCTATGTATACTTGGAAAAAAAAATGCAAAATATAAACCCCGCCCACTCACCCTACCTCATTTGTAACGATTTTTCTTTGTTGATCGTGAACCAAAGGGGCGAAGCTTATTGCAAAATCCGTATTTTTCTGCAAGAATTACATCGGAAAATCGGAAAAACGAAAATTTGAAAAATGGAGAAATTGAGAAAGCGAGTAGTAAAATATTGAAAATTTGCATTTCGAAAAATGATCAAATCGAAAATCGAAAGACCAAAAATCGAAAAAAAAACTCGAGAAATCGAAAATCGCGTGATAAAAAATTCCCAAAGTCTAAATAATGAAAATTGACGATTCGATTAATCAAATATTCGAAAAACCAAAAATTCAAAAATCTAAAAATGGAAAATCGAAAATTCTTACAGCGAAAAATCGAAAGGCGAAAAACGAAAAAATCGGAAATTTAAAAAACCTACAAATTAAAAGAAAATAAATGTCGAATAACTGAAGAATGGAAACATTGAAAATCGAACAGTAAAAAAAAAAGCAAAACCAAAAAACTGAACAACGGAAAAATCGAAAATCAGAAAATTTACCATTTTAAACATGTTTTCAGTTTTTTGTTGTGAAGGGAAAATATCTCATTTGTAACGGTTTTTCTTTGTTCATCTGGAACCAAGGAGGACGAAGCTTAATTGCAAAATCCGTATTTTCCACAAGAATTACATCGGAAAATCGGAAAAACGAAAATTTGAAAAATCGAGGAATTGAGAAAGCAATAAGTAAAATACTGAAAATTTGCATTTCGAAAAATGATCAAATCGAAAATCGAAGGTCCAAAAATCGAAAAAAAAAACTCGTGAAAACGAAAATCGAGTGATAAAAAATTCCGAAAGTCTAAATAATAAACTCGACAATTCGATGAATCAAACACACATTCGAAAATTTAAAAATCGAAAAACCGAAAAATCTCAAGTTTAAAAATTGAGATTTCGAAAAATCCACAAATGCAGAAAAAAAGAAATATGGAAAGTCGAAAAATCGAAAATTCTTACAGCGAAAAAGCGAAATGGAAAAATTAGAAATTTCAAAAATCGAAAAAAACAACTCGAGAAATGAAAAAGCTAAAAATTAAAAGAAAATAAATGTCGAATAACTGAAGAATGGAAAAATTGAAAATCGATCAAATCGAAAATCGAAAGACCAAAAATCGAAAAAAAAAAAACTCGAAAAATTGAAAATCGAGTGATAAAAAATTCCGAAAGTCTAAATAATGAAAATCGACAATTCGATGAATCAAATACACATTCGAAAATTTAAAAATCGAAAAAGCGAAAAATCACAAATTCAAAAATTGAAACTTCGAAAAATCGACAAATGCAGAAAAAAAGAAATATGGAAAGTCGAAAAATTGAAAATTCTTACAACGAAAAATTAAAAGATGAAAAACGGAAAAATTGGAAATTCCAAAAATCGAAAAAAAATCCTCGAGAAATGAAAAAGCTAAAAATTTAAAGAAAATGAATGTCGAATAACTGAAGAATGGAAAAATTGAAAATCGAAAAATGTTTTCAGTTTTTTGTTGTGAAGGGAAAATATAAACCCCGCCCTCCCACCCTATCTCATTTGTAACGATTTTTCTTTGTTCATCGTGAACCAAGTGGGGCGAATTTCCTATTTTTCAATTTCTCTGTTTTCAGTTTTGCTCTTCAATTTTACGATTTTTAAATATTTCGATTTTTCAATTTTTGACTTTTATAAACTCTGTCGATTTTTCAGGTTTTTTGGTTTTTCAATTTTTCTATTTTTTCAGGTTTCGATTTTTCAACTTCACTTTTTTGATTTTTCGATTTCTCAATATTTATAAATTTTTTAATTTATCAGTTTTTGGACATTTCAGTTTTGGGATTTTTCAATATTTCTGTTCTTCGACTTTTCCATTTTTGACTTTTGCATTTTTCGATGTGTCGACTTTTTACTTTATCGATTTTTAAATTTTAGATTTCTCAATTTTTTTGTTATTTTAATTTTTCAGTATTTTAAATTTTAGATTTTTCGATTTCTCGATTTTTCATTTCAGTTCTTCGATATTTCAGTTTTTCAAGTTTTCGAATTTTTCTTCCATTTTCCAATTTTTCGGTATTTCAGATTTTTCAAAATCTCGATTCTTCAATTTTTTGAGGTTTCGATGTTTCGATCTCTAGATTTTTTTACTTTTTAGATCTTCAATTTTTGGATTTATTGATGTTTTTATATCTAAATTTTTCGAATTTTTAAAATTTTAGATTTATCAGTTTATTGATGTTTCAATTTAACGATCTTTCAATATTTCGACTTCTCGGTTTTAGATTTTTCGACTTTTAGAGTTCTCGAATTTTCAATTTTTCGATTTCTCAATGTTTCCATGTTTCAGTTTTGGCTTTTTTTAATATTTCCATTCTTCAATTTTTTTCCCATTTTTAAATTTGTTGATATTTCGGTTTTGGGATTTTTCAGTATTTCGATTCTTCAATTTTTCGATTTTTGGATTTCTCGTTTTATTTACTTTTTCGATTTTTAAATTTTTGATTTTTCAGTTTTTCAATGTATGATTTTTTTCGGTATTTTAATTTTTCAATTTTTTTTTATTCACCATGAAGCTTAATTGCAAAATACTTATTTCGTTACAAGAAATTAAAAACATGTTTTTGAGTATCGTGTCGTTCAAAGAATATTATGTACATTAAGAAAAAAAAAAAACAATATAAACCCCGCCCACCCACCCCGTCTCAATTGTGATGATTTTTTCAATTCTTAGAAACTCAAAACACGTTTAAAATGCCACCAATTTTCAGTTTTTGAATATTACAATTTTAGGATTTTTCATTTTTTCGACTCTTCAAATTTTCGATTTCTCTTGACTTTCGAGGGTTTCGATATTCCTATTCTTCAATTATTTAATTTTTTGATTTTTCATTTTTTAGTTTTTTTAAGGTTTCGATTTTTCGACTTCACTTTTTGGATTTTTCGATTGCTCAATTTTTCGACTTTTTAGGTTCTCAGATTTTGGATATTTCAGTTTTCGGATTTTTCAGTTTTGGGATTTTTCAATATTTCGATTCTTTGACTTTTCGATTTTTGGCTTCTGGAGGTTTCGATGTGTCGATTTTTTTACTTTTTCAATTTTTCGGTTTTTCAATTTTTCGATTGCTTAATCTTCCGATTTTTCGACTTCCCGGTTTTAGATTTTCTGTTTTTCAATTGTCATTTTGTCAAATTTTCAATTTTTTAATTTTTCAAATTTGACTATTATAAAGTCAATTTTTCAATTTTTCAATTAATCGATGTTTTGATTTTCCCATTTCTTGACCTTCGAGTGTGTCGATTTTCCTGTTCTTCAATTCTTTAATTTTTTGATTTTTCAGGTTTTTGATTTTCCAATTTTTCGATTTTTTAAGATTTTTAATTTTCGACTTCACTTTTTTGATTTTTCGATTTTTCAATTTTTGGATTTTTCAATATTTCAGTTCTTGGGCTTTTCTATTTTTGACCTCTGGATTTCTCGATGTGTCTACCTTTTTACTTTTTCGATTTTTCAATTTTTGGATTTTAAAATTTTAGATTTTTCAATCTTTTGATATTTTAATTTTTCAACATTTCTTAATCTTTCGATTTTTCGACTTCCTGGTTTTAGATGTTCTGTTTTTCAATTTTTCGATTTGTTAATTTTTCATTCCCGATTTATGGAGATTTGATTGTTTAGGTTTTCGAGTTATCAGTTTTTAAATTTTTTATTTTACCTATTTCGGTTTCTCAGTTTTTCCAGTTTCCATTTTTTCGTTTTTTGATTTTTCCGCTTTTCCAATTTTTCAACTTTTAACTTTTTGTCTGTCGATTTCTCTATTTTTCGATTTTTCGACGTTATGACTTTTTGATTTCTCGTTCTTTTGATTTTTCAATATCTCAATTTTTTAATTTTTCGAATTTTTAAGTTTTTTGATTTCTCGATTTATCGAGATTTGAATTTTTCGATATTTTGGTTGTCAATTTCTCAATTTAGGTTCTCAGATTTTGGATATTTCAGTTTTCGGATTTTTCAATATTTCGATTCTTCGACTTTTGGCTTCTGGAGGTTTCGATGTGTCGATTGTTTTACTTTTTCGATTTTTCAATTTTTTGTTTGCTTAATCTTTCGATTTTTCGACTTTCCGGCTTTGGATTTTCTGTTTTGAATTGTCGTTTTAAATTTTTCGATTTTTCCCGATTTGGTTTCCCATTTTTAGTTTTTCTTTCATTTTTCAGTTTTTCGTTATTTCAATTTTGGGATTTTTCAATATTTCGATTTTTCGATTTTTGACTTCTGGATTTTTCGATGTCCCGATTTTTTTACTTTTTCGATTTTTATATTTTAGATTTTTTAATTTTGATAATTTTAGATTTTTCGATTTCACGATTTTTTATTTCAGTTGTTCGATATTTCAATTTTTTCAAATGTTTCGATTTCTTAATCTTTTGAGTTTTCGACTTCTCGGTTTTAGATTTTCTGTTTTTCAATTGTCATTTTGTCAAATTTTCGAATTTTTTAATTTGAGTATTATAAACTCTCAAATTTTCGATTTTTCAATTAATCGATGTTTTGATTTTCCCATTTCTTGACCTTCGAGTGTTGCGATTTTCCTGTTCTTCAATTATTTAATTTTTTGATTTTTCAGGTTTTTGATTTTTCAATTTTTCGATTTTTTAAGGTTTCTATTTTTCGACCTCACTTTTTTGATTTTTCGATTTTTCAGTTTTTAGATATTACAGTTTTAGGATTTTTCAATATTTCAGTTCTTCGGCTGTTCTATTTTTGACTTCTGGATTTTTCGATGTGTTTACCTTTTTACTTTTTCGATTTTTCAATTTTTCTGATTTTTCAATATTTCCGTTCTTCGACTTTTCCATTTTTGACTTCTGGATTTTTCGATGTGTCGACTTTTTACTTTTTCGATTTTTAAATTTAGATTTCTGTTTTTTGGCATTTTAATTTTTCAATATTTTAAAGTTTAGATTTTTCGATTTCTCGATTTTTCATTTCAGTTCTTCGATATTTCAGGTTTTCAAGTTTTCGAATTTTTCAAATGTTTTGATTTCTTAATCTGTCGATTTTTTGACTTCCCGGTTGTGGATTTTCTGTTTTTCAATTGTCGTTTTTTCAAATTTTCAATGTTTCAAATTCGAAATTTATAAACTGTTAATTTTTCGATTTTTCAATCAATCGATGTTTTGATTTTCTTGACTTTCGAGGGTTTCCCGATTTAGTTTCCCATTTTTAGTTTTTCTTTCATTTTTCAGTTTTTCGATATTTCAGTTTTGGGATTTTTCAATATTTCAATTCTTCGACTTTTCGATTTTTGACTCTTGAATTTTTCGATGTGTCGATTTTTTTACTTTTTCGATTTTTAAATTTTAGATTTTTTAATTTTTAAAATCTTCGATTTTTCATTTCAGTTCTTCGATATTTCAATTTTTTCCAAGTTTTTGAATTTTTCAAATCTTTTAAGTTTTTTGATTTCTCGATTTATCGAGATTTGGATTTTTCGATATTTTAATTGTCAATTTCTCAATTTATAAATTGTTCAATTTTTAACTTTTAGATTTTTCGATTTTGGCCTATTTCGGTTGCTCAATTGTTCGACTTTTCGACCCCACGATTTCTGGATCTTTTGATTTTTCGACTTCCCGGTTTTGGATTTTCTATTTTTCAATTGTCATTTTGTCAAATTTTCGATTTTATAATTTTTCAAATTTGACTTTTATAAACTCTCAATTTTTCGATGTTTTGATTTTCTCATTTCGTGACCTTCGAGTGTTTCGGTTTTCTTATTCTTCGATTCTTTAATTTTTTGATTTTTCAGGTTTTTGATTTTTCAATTTTTCGATATTTTAAGGTTTCTATTTTTCGACTTTACTTTTTTGATTTTTCGATTTTTCAGTTTTTAGATATTTCAGTTATAGGATTTTTCAAGATTTCAATTCTTCGGCTTTTCTATTTTTGACTTCTGGATTTTTCGATGTCTCCACCTTTTTACTTTTTCGATTTTTCAATTTTTGGATTTTTAAATTTTAGATTTTTCAATCTTTTGATATTTTAATTTTTCAATATTTCTCTAATTTTCGATTTTTCGACTTCATCACTTTTCGATTTCTCGTTCTTTTGATCATTCAATCTCTCAATTTTTCGAATTTTTAAGTTTTTTGATTTCTCGATTTATCGATATTTTCTTAATTGTTCGACTTTTCGACCCCACGATTTCTTGATGTTTCGATTTTTCAGTTATTCGATTTCCCGATTTTTCGTTATTTGCATTTTTTCGATTTTCTGTTTCATTTTTCGATTTTCAGTTCTTCGATACTTCGATTTTTCAATGTTTCGGTTTTACGATTTTTTAAGGTTTCGATTTTTCGATTATTAGATTTCTCGAATATTTTAATTTTTCTTTTTTTTTTTTCTAACTGTTAATATCATACAGTGTATCCAAAACAACCACAAAAATTGTCACTAAAAACATTTAAAAATTCATACAAAATAGAACAGTGTTTCCAAAACATTCAATTGGGTTATTACGATTTCAACAATATTCTTAGTTTAAGACGTTTTGCTAGTATAAAACACAAATAAAGAATTAATTCTTAGTTAAACAAAATATGTGAAATCATCTAAATATGTACCAAAAATTTTCACTTAGTTATAAAAACCGACCAAACAACTATTTCCCGCAGAAATTATAGTCGAAACCAACCAAATCGCTTCTGAACGCTTAGAGTCGACATTGGCGTGAGGGCGCTGCGGTCTGTAGATCAAACAAGTTCTCAGGCGACGAGTTGTAGTGAAACAATAAGGGTGGTTTTGCAAAATCAGCCTGTATGTCGCATCTATATTAATCTACGACTAAATCTTTAGTTGCAAGCGGCGGGTTTCGACCCCACCATGTCGAAGTTGGCGTTGCATAAACATGGCGGCGATATCATGAAAGCGGCTGAGGATTTGTTGGCCAATAACGGGACGGTTGTCGACGCCGATATGTCACTTTTAAACGGTAAGATCCACCAACGCTGCAATCAACTGATAACGCATAAATATGCTACTCATTGCAGACATTGAAAAGGTGGTGAAGAAAGAGGAAGAAAACCGGGAGAAAAAAGACGAAGCGTTTCAGAGGATAGCCGGCGACCTATCCATGGTGGACGACGACCACTTGGATTTAACGCTATCACAAGAGGAGAACTTCCTCAACCAGTACTTGTCCCTCCTCGAAACCGACCGTACCTAATTACGCCCCAAACCCAATAAATATATTTTTATAAATTTCTAATTGTCTTTAATGTAATACAATAAATCAACTCCTGTATCGAAAACTTTGTGCACGATCTCGTCCAAAATCCTCCTGGCGTCTTCCGTGACGAGCATGTGAGCTACGTCGGAAGCGTGCAGACTAACCTGGAGGCGAGACTTCAAGATCCGTTCGACGAGGTATTCGATGCTCGACTTCTCGGTGAGGAAGTCCACCGGTAACACGTCGATTAAATTGGATATCATTCGGGCCATCACGTCCTTCGGGTCTCCTTTAGCTAGCAGAATCTCGTCGACGATGTCCTCCATCAGTTCTCTGCAGTAATCGGCATCTTCTTCGTGGGTTTCGGGCTCCCCGACAACGTAGAGTTGTTCGGCTGTCGTTTCCACTATCCCGCGTTGCTCGTCGTCGGGTTCGATGGGGAGATTGCGAATTAACTCCTCGACTAACTCGGTCATGCTGATGCCGCGCATCACCGAGCTGAGAATCCCTCTGATGAAGTTCTCGTTGGATCGCTTCGTGAGGTGTATATCCAGAGCGCTTAACATCTCGTTGAGAAGAGCGGTGGCGACGTCTTGAGATTTTTCGTCCAAACTAAAAGAAAGGGTGAGAGGGTGGTTTATTTTACTCTACATCAGATGGCGCCATCGAACATTAGCAAAGGCAAACACCCTTCACTCTGCTCTTATACGAGGAGTTATCCATAAATCCATAATTAACATTGTTCCGTAAACAGTAATGTGTATAAATATATATGTACAAAATATGAAAATATACTTGACATAAAAAATATGAAGCAACGCGTTGTAACGTGATACGAAAGAATTGTATTTAAATGAATTTGACGCCTATTTTTATTTGACTATATCTGAAGACTGACAGAAACTTACCAAGGGTTTTTAAACTGGTATAATTGTTTAGTTTTACAAGATTAAAGTAAAACAAGATTTTAAGTAAAATTTAGATTCGTGGTGTTACAAAAATATTAACACAAAATGAAAATATATATTCAAAGTAAATAACAGAATGACATAAACTTTCGGCGTTGACATTACAAATAATTACAAGACAGAAAAAAACGCATGAAGAACTTAAGAGGCATGTTTGTAATATCGAGTTGTTAAAGATTGCTTTGAAGACTGTTTGTTTCAATGAACATCAATTGCTGTTATCCGACGTTTTGGTAGATTTTGTTTCAAAAATACGAGATAACTAATTGTTTCTTGAACTAGTTTCCGTAACTTCTAAAATTTAAAAAGGACACGCCGTTCTGCTGTAATAAAATCTAGAATAAGGTCAAAATCACACTAATATTACATCTGATTTTGTTAACCACATGAATATAATTTACATTAAAATAAGTTACAGACATTGTTTGAAATGTTTATTATATTTCGAAAACAAGATAAAATAAATAAATAAATAAAATGTGCATCCGTGTCGAGTTTTCACCTTAGACATCAAGATTTTTGGAAAAAATCAACATTTTCCAATTTATAATGTTATTTAAATTTTAAAAAGTAGCATAGTCCTGATTTATAAATACACTATTGAGATTTTTCGGCTTGTCGATTTATCGATTTTTCGACTTTAAATCTCTCAATTTTTCAATATTTCTATTTTGGGTTTCTCCGATTCTTCCATTCTTCAAATTTTCTATTTCTCGATTTTTTTATTTTTCGACTTCTCAGTCTTTCGATGTTTCAATGATACGATTTCTCAATTTTTGTCCTCTTCAATTGTACGGTTTTTAAATATTTCGGTTTTTCAATTTTTCAAATTTTCACGTTTCTAAATTTTCAGTTTGTCGATTTCTAAAGTTTTTTTTTATTTGCCCATTTCTGGACTTCCTAAAGTTTCGATTTTTCACACCTTCAATTCTTCAATTTTTCGATTTTTTAAGATTACGATTTTTCGATTTTGCTGTTTTAGATTTTCGATTTCTCAATTTTCCAATTTTTTAATTTCTCAATTTTTTGAATATTTCTTTCAGTTATGAGATTTTTCAATATTTCAATTTTTCGACTTTTCGACTTTTGAATTGATGGGTTTTTTTTGATTTCTCGATTTTTTACTTTTTTGATTTTCAATTTATTGTAAACTTTAGATTTTTCAATTCTGCGACTGTTTAATGTTTCGATTTCTCAATTTTTCAACTTTTCGATGTTTTAATATTTCATTTTTTTAAATTCTAGGTTTTCGATATCTCGAGTTTTCAATTCTTCTATATTTCAATTTTTCAATTTTTCGATTTTTTTAATTTTAATTTTCGATATTCCAGTTTTTCTTTTTTAAAATTTTTCAATTATTCAATTTTTTAATTTCTCAATTTATCGAATTCAGATGTTTCGTGGTTTTGATTGTTCAATTTCTCAATTTTTCAATTTTTAACTTTCCTTTTCGGCTTCCGACTCCTCAATTTTTCGATCCTCCAATTTTTCGATTTCTCGAAGTCTCAGTTTTTGAATTTTTCAATGTTCCGATTTTTCAATTTTTCAATTTGAATTGGATTTCTCGATTCTTCAATTTTGCGATATTTTAATTATTCAATGTTTTAAACTTTAAATTTTTCGATTTCTCGATTTTTGACTTTTCAGTTCTTCAGTATTTAAATTTTTCAATTTTTCTAATTTTGCGTTAAATTTTCAGTTTTCTGATTTCTCAATTAATCTATTTTTGATTTTCCCACTTCTCAAAGTTTCGATTTTTCAGTTCTTCAATTCTTCGATTTTTCGACTTCGCTTTATTGGTTTTTAGATTTCTCAATTTTTTGATATTTCTTTCAGTTTTGATATTTTTCAATACTTCGATTCTTTGATTTTTCGACTTCTAGATTTTTCTATTTTTTATTTTTGGATTTTCAGTTTTTCGTTTTTTATACTTCAGATTTTTCAATTTTCCGATTGTTTATATTTCAATTTCTCAATTTTTCAACTTTTCCATATTTTAATTTTTAAATTTCTAGATTTTTCGGTTTCTCGAGTTTCCACTTCAATATTTTAATTCTTCAAATTTCCGAATTTTAAATTTTTTGAGATCTCAATTTATTGAGATGCGGATGTTTCGATGTTTTGATTATTCAATCTCTCGCTTTATCAATTTTTCCATATTTAAGTTTTCGATTTTTCGATTTTGGCCTATTTCGGTTTCTCAATTTTTCGATTTTTCGACTTCTCGATTGTTCGACTCCTCGATTTTTTTGTCTTTTGATTTTTCAATTTCTCGATGTCTCAATTTTTGAATTTTACAATGTTTCGATTTTTCGATTTGTTGGTTTTTCGATTTTTTGCTCCTCGGTTTCTCGATTTTTCGATGTTTCGATTTTTGATTTATCCGATATTTCAATTTTCCAATTTTTTAAATTTTCGACTTCTCGATTCGTTGATTTTTCAGTTTTTCGATTTTTAAATTTTAGATTTTCGATTTTTTTGTTTCAATTTTTGATGTTTGGATTTCTCCATTTTTCAGTTAGGATATTTTAACTTTTCAATGTTTTAAATATTAGATTTTTCGATGTTTCAGTTCTTAATATTTTTTTATTTTTCAGATTTGGCGTTTCTGAATTTCTAGTTATCGGATTTCTCAATTAATCTATTTTTTTATATTCCCGTTTCTCCACTTCCTAAAATTTCGATTTTTCAGTTCTTCAGTTCTTCAATTTTTCGATTATTCAGGTTTTTGGTTTTTCAATTTTTAGACTTTTTAAGTTTGCGATTTTTAGACTCTGCTTTTTTGAGTTTTCTGTTTCTCAATTTTTTAATTTCCTAATTTTTGGATATTTCGTTCAATTTTGTGATTTTTCAGTTTTTCGATTTCTCAATTTTAACTTTTCAATTTTTAAATTATTAATTTTTTTCGATTTTTTGAGTTTTCAGTTCTTCTCAAAGTTTCGATTTTTCAGTTCTTCAATTCTTCGATTTTTCGACTTCGCTTTATTGGTTTTTAGATTTCTCAATTTTTGGATATTTCTTTCAGTTTTGATATTTTTCAATACTTCGATTCTTTGATTTTTCGACTTCTAGATTTTTCTATTTTTTATTTTTGGATTTTCAGTTTTTCGTTTTTTATACTTTGGATTTTTCAATTTTCCGATTGTTTTATATTTCAATTTCTCAATTTTTCAACTTTTCCATATTTTAATTTTTAAATTTCTAGATTTTTCGGTTTCTCGAGTTTCCACTTCTATATTTTAATTCTTCAATTTCCGAATTTTTAAATTTTTTGAGATCTCAATTTATTCAGATTCAGATGTTTCGATGTTTTGATTATTCAATCTCCCGCTTTATCAATTTTTCCATATTTAAGTTTTCGATTTTTTGATTTTCGCCTATTTCGGTTTCTCAATTTTTCGATTTTTCGACTTCTCGATTGTTCGACTCCTCGATTTTTTTGTCTTTTGATTTTTCAATTTCTCGATGTCTCAATTTTTGAATTTTACAATGTTTCGATTTTTCGATTTGTTGGTTTTTCGATTTTTTGCTCCTCCTCGATATTTCAATTTTCCAATTTTTTAAATTTTCGACTTCTCGATTCGTTGATTTTTCAGTTTTTCGATTTTTAAATTTTAGATTTTCGAATTTTTATTTTTTTGAATTTTTGATGTTTGGATGTCTCCATTTTTCAGTTTTAGGATATTTTAACTTTTCAATGTTTTAAATATTACATCTTTCGATTTTTCAATTCTTGTTAATATTTTTTTATTTTTCAAATTTGGAGTTTCTGAATTTCTAGTTTTCGGATTTCTCAATTAATCTATTTTTTTATATTCCCATTTCTCCACTTCCTAAAGTTTCGATTTTTCAGTTCTTCAGTTCTTCAATTTTTCGATTATTCAGGTTTTTGATTTTTCAATTTTTAGATTTTTTAAGTTTGCGATTTTTCGACTCTGCTTTTTTGACTTTTCTGTTTCTCAATTTTTTAATTTCCTAATTTTTGGATATTTCGTTCAATTTTGTGATTTTTCAGTTTTTCGATTTCTCAATTTTAACTTTTCAATTTTTAAATTATTAATTTTTTTCGATTTTTTGAGTTTTCAGTTCTTCTATATTTCAATTTTTCAATTTTCGGAATTTTTAAATTTTCGATTGTTCAATTTTTTTTTTCGATTTTCCAATTTTCGATGTTTCGGTTTTTGAATTAACCGACTGTTCAATTTCTCGATTTTTAAATTTTAGATTTTCCAATTTTTGTTTTTTTGATTTTTTATGTTTCGATTTCAAGCACGTACATACAAGACGCATTTAAGGCTGTTTTAAGTTTGCTACATTTAATTTTTGCTATTTTAAATTTATTTCTTGATGTCTAAATCGTATATATTTAAATGGTGGTAAATAATTTGTGATAAAATGCATTTTAGTTTCAAAGATAATATGTATTTAATGATTTGACTACTGTTAATAAAAAAAAATACGTAAGAAGATGTTCATATTGAATTAATTTGGTGTTCATAGTTTGATGATAACCCATAGTTATTCTGGAGGCAAATTAAATGACTTGTTACTTATTAATTAAAGTGGTGGTCGTTTAATTTCGTGCCTTTAAAGTGGACGAAGGGACGCATTTGTTAGCCATGCAGTTTATGGATAATATACCGCGATAATATTAAATTTTTATTACCTTAACCTTTATATTCATTCTTTTCTACATGGGAAAGTGATTGTCCGTATAGGTTGTCCAACTATAATATACTTAAACAATGGTGATACTTACGTCGTCGGGATGATAATCTCCGTGGAGAAGGGCTTCCTCTGCTCCTCTTCTTCCACTTCCTCCCCCAACAACTGTTCCCACATTCTCGTCTCCTCCTCTTCTACAACTTCCTTTCTGATTTCTTTCGCTTTCAGCACCATCCCTTTCGTCTTCAACAGTTTGATTTCCTCCTTGAGTTCTTGCATCTGCCGGCACTGCTCCTCCACGACCGCTTCCAGCTTAGTGTTTTCTTCGCCGTAGCGTCTCACCACATCCGCCACCCCTTCCAAATGCTGCTTCTTTTTTCCCTGACTCAGTAAATTCTGCGCCAGTTCGGTCTTCTCCTTCACTAAAGACGTCATCAATTCTTGCTGAGACGTGTTGTATCTCAACGCGTAAGTCAACTCTTTCTGAACCCGCACGATTTCGGCGCTCCAAAAGTTCAAGTCGTTGATGTACATGCTTTTGATGTCCATCATCGACAGTCGCAAATCGTGGACGATCTTCTTCAATAGTACTTCCTCCAAGTCGTGGAGGTCATCTTTTCCGAATGTTCGCTTCAACATGGCTTCTTCTATCTCGTTGATGTCTACGATTTTACCGAACTTGGATTTCATGTGGTCGGTGATTACTTCTTGGAGACCTTTGATGCGCTTCGTCATGTATCTGCAGTCGGAGCGCATTCTGGTGTAGTGTTTGATGTTGTTCCTGTGTCTTTTGATCAGCTTCTCGGTTTCGACTTGGAGTTCGTCGACGCGTTTGTACAAGTGAGTGAGACACTTGGCGGAGAAGACCAAGGTGTCCATGATGTTGCTGGCTTTGTTGTCGGGAGTGAGGTGCTGCAGCTGGTGCAGGTGCAGGACCACGGTACATCGGACGTCGTTCAGTTTGCGCTGCTTCTCTCTCTGGTGCATCTCGAGTTCGTCCTGACACACCTGCAGGTCTTTCTCGAGAAGCTTGACCTTCTTGTTTTGAATCTCCAGATCTTTCTTGAGAACTTCTATGACTTTGAGTGCTTCTTTGATTTGGATTTCGATTTGGTGCCTAAGATTGACATATCTACATTTAGAAGAAACAACAAAAGATAGAAATACCTTTGGGCACGCTGCTTCACCGTGTAGTCGTAAATGGCTTGATCGCACCCCTTGGGACACACGTTCAAGTCTTGTTTGATGAACCCAAAGTCCCTGGAATCGATGCTTTTGCCTTCATCTTCGTCTTCAGAAGTGGTCGATGTCGACGAAGACGAAGAACTAGAACTCGATTCTGGGAGAGGTCAGCTAAACCTCAACTAAACTAACTCTCACCGTCATCTTTCCGAATCTTCGGAGGTTTATATTTCTTGCGAAAAACCTTCCTCAAGAAATCGTAAAACTTATTGTCTTGAACCGCTTGTGTAAAAGTCGTTTGTATGACTTTGATTCGATCTTGCCCTCGGTCGTTATCACCATTGAGTTCCAAAATTTGCCCATTTATCTCTTCTATAATGTCTTTCATGTCCAAAACCTCTGTGTGTTTATTATTGACTTTACTTTGCAAAATATCTTCCTTTGCTTCAAACTCGTTCAAAATCAGCAACTCTTGGTGCAGCGTCACCATGAAGACGTCCATGGTTTTCGCATCTACATCGACCTGGAATCTCTGGCTGCTCAACTTTTGCACTTTCGTATCGAAATATGTAATCTTTTTCATCATCATGTCAATTACATCGTCTTGCTCGAACAACTTTCTTTCTAATCTTTTTTCTCGTAGATTGCTCTCCCATGGTGTGTCTTTCTTTTCGTTCTTACTAAAGCCGCACAAATCTTCAAAATCGCGCAGACTTAGATCACCGGGGTCTTTCCCGTCGAACTTGGTCCCTTTTTTCGACAACACTTGTTTCTCGTGATGATCCAAATCTGCAGGTGGAGACACAACAATCACCATTTGAGAACGTTTCGAAACCGGCGTGGCATCTTCCACTTTCATTTCAACGGTTATTAAGAACTTGTTCTCAGGGAATTCCGTCTCATTTGATGGGCGCACCGCAGGTGCGTCTTTCCGCTGGTCCACGGGGATCTCGTTGTGGATTTCTTCCAGTTGTAGTTTCAGCTCGTCTAATTCAGCTCTGATTTCCTGTTTTTCTGCACGTAGATTGTACACTTGGACGTTGAAGTCGTACCGGATGTTATATTGCTGAAAATGTAGACGAGTAAGAAATATTGTCCCTAAAATATGTATAGTCACTTATTTACCTTGACCCTTCCCCACAACAGTTCCTTGTATTTTTTTAATGTCGTTTCTCGTTGTTCTTGATTCGCTTTGTATGTAATGTCTGACTTTAGTTTGTAGTCGCCAATTGTACCCCTAGCCTCTGCTAGAGCGACATTGTCATCAGGATGGTTTACCCCTCGGACGGGTTTCTTCGCCAAAAATTCTGTCCACTGTGAACAGAAAATCATGAGTCCTGACCAGACTCAAAAATTTAAAGCCGGCCCTGTGCTATGAAACGAATGTCGGATCTATAATCTAGTAAAAACGACTCGTAACTTGTCAACCAATCGCGTAGCACTGTCGCAAAATAGTCGCACGTTATTGGCCGCTCGACTCGTCTTTTTTGCTGTCACACCCTAAACCCGACGTTTATCACGATCATGTCCTATCATTACCGCTGTCAATTTTATAAACATAACCTCTACACAAAGTTTTGAATTGTCATCGTCGTAAAAACGCAAAAAATCTCCGTGTCGGTGTTTCCCCTTCGCTATGTCGGGCTCCCTCTTCGGCTGGGACCTCGTGCTGAAAAGCGTCGAATCCGAGATAAAGTCCAACGAAGACATCCTGTTGTGTTTCGCCCACCTGGTGCTCGTCTCCAACGACTTCAAGTGCGTCGGTTTGGGCGAATCCAAGGTTCTCGATGGCTCTGAAACCAAAAGCGAGGCCCTCCCCGCCGGCTGGAGCGACTCCTACGCCCTCCGCTACGTGCACCAAGGTCGCCTCTACCTCTTCAAAGCTACGAAAGTCGACGACGGGCTCATGCTCAACTTAATCCGCGTGGACGAGCGCACCACCTCTCTAGTCCACCTCAACAGCAACCTGGTGGCCAGCCGCACCGGCAGTCTGGCGCAGATGCTCCCCAAGCACTCCGATATGATGCAGCAGATCCGCAGCGAGCTCATCGACAAAGTCGTGGCTTCCAGGAACAGCCGCGACGGCTCCAGCCAGACCGCCCCCGCGCCGTCGTCGCCCCAGCTGCCCCCCAACCCGCACCCCATGTCGCCGCTGCTGGTGGACCCGCCTAGTTTCCCGCGCCGCGGCGTGGGGGTAGGCGAGTTGGATTTAAACCCGTTCGGCCGGAACCCGCTAGGGTTCCCCGGGCCCATGGGCGGCGGCGGGATGTTGTTCGAGCCGCCGCGCGGCGGCGGCTTCCCGCAAGCGCCCGGATTCGGGATGCCGCCGGGGGCCGTGCCCCCGGGCGCGCGCTTCGATCCGTTCAGGCCACCGGACGTGGACAGGTTCCCCCGCAGGCCCCCCAACAGGCCCGACAACGACGAGTTTCCGCCCCCGGGTTATGACGATATGTTTATGTAATGTAATTTTTTTTCATTATTAAATTTCTATTACCTGTAGTTCGCGTTTCTCCCATTTGAGCTTCCTGTCTCGGTATTTCTGGAGGAGGCGGGTGAGTTTCGTGTTCTTTTGGGACACGATGGCCGAGGGGGAGAGGTTGACGAGGAAGTATTCGAGGCCCTGGTCTTTGGGTTTTTTGGCGGTGGTGACTTTAGTGGGAGGGGGCGGGCGCTCCACTGGCCTGGAGAAGGAGGGATTAGTGGTCGTTCCAGGCAAATTCTTGTTTGGTCTCTACTACAATAGTTTTATTTTCAAAATGCCGGCACTCCCACCATCGCTCCGCGTAATCGACCAATCAGAAGCGGGGGTTTGAATAATGAAGCAGAGAACATAGAGAAGCGTCATAGTTTAAATTAAATGACGGTCGAGGACTCCTCGACTTATGTTGGCAACAGTGTTCGTTTCTAACTTATAGGAATAAAATTAACTAAAAAAGAATGTAATAATATTTTTAACGACGCGTTTTATTTTCGACAAATTGACACTAGATTTACCAGAATATTACAAGCTGCTTACTGTTTCGTTCACTCTAATTCAGGTCACACGAATTACAGTTCGTCGTCTGACAACTTGTTTGATCTACAGATCAGAGCGCACTCAGGCCAATGTCGACTCTCAGCGTTCGGAAACGATTTGATTTATAAGCCACGATCCGTGACCTGCTACACATCCTAACCTATAATTTCTTGCTGTTTCAACTTTCGAATTCTCAGTTTTTCGAAATTTTAGTTTGGGGACTTTTCAGTTTACTCCTATTTATTTTTCAATTTTTGGATTTTACAATTTCCCAATTTTTCAATTTCTCGGTTTTCAGTTTTTCTCTTCAATTTTACGATTTTTAAATATTTCGATTTTTCAATTTTTGACTTTTATAAACTCTTTATTTGTCGATTTTTCAATTAATTGATTTTTCAGGTTTTTTGGTTTTTCAATTTTTCTATTTTTTCAGATTTCGATTTTTCAACTACACTTTTTTGATTTTTCGATTTCTCAATTTTTCAATTTTTTAATTTCTCAGTTTTTCGACATTTCAGTTTTAGGATTTTTCAGTTTACCTATTATTCAATTTTTCGATCTTACGATTTTGCAGATTTTTGATTTTTCAATTTTTCGATTCTTTAGATTCTCAGTTTTTGGATATTTCAGTTTTGAGATTTTTCAGTTTTTCGATTCGTCAGTTTTTCTTTCATTTTTCAGTGTTTCGATATTTCAGTTTTGGGATTTTTCAATATTTTTGTTCTTCGACTTTTCCATTTTTGACTTCTGGATTTTTCGATGTGTCGACTTTTTACTTTTTCGATTTTTTAATTTTGGATTTCTCATTTTTTTTGTATTTTAATTTTTCAATATTTAAAATTTTAGATTTTTCTATTTCTCGATTTTTCATTTTAGCTCTTCCATATTTCAATTTTTCAAAAGTTTCTGTCTTAATCTTTCGATTTTTCGACTTTCCGGTTTTAGATTTTCTGTTTTTCAATTGTCGTTTTTTCAAATTTTCGATTTTTCAATTTTTCAAATTTGACATTTATAAACTGTTAATTTTTGATTTTTCAATTAATCGATGTTTTGATTTTCCCATTTCTTGACTTTCCTGTTCATTTCTTTAATTTTTCGATTTTTCAGGTTTTTGATTTTTCATTTTTTAGTTTTTTTAAGGTTTCGATTTTTCGATTTCACTTTATGGATTTTTCGATTGCTCAATTTTTTGACTTTTTAGGTTCTCAGTTTTTGGATATTTCAGTTTTCGGATTTTTCAGGTTTTCCCATTTTTTAGTTTTTCTTTCATTTTTCAGTTTGTCGTTATCTCAGTTTTGGGATTTTTCAATATTTTGATTCTTCGACTTTTCGATTTTAGACTCCTGGATTTTTCGATGTGTCGACTTTTTTACTTTTTCGATTTTTCAATTTTTCGATTTTTAAATTTTAAATTTTTTAATTTTTAAAATTTTAGATTTTTCGATTTCTCGATTTTTCATTTCAGTTCTTCGAGATTTCAGTTTTTCAAGTTTTCGAATGTTTCGAATGTTTCCATTTCTTAATCTTTTGATTTGTCGACTACCCGGTTTTAGATTTTCTGTTTTTCAATTGTCATTTTGTCAAATTTTCGATTTTTTAATTTTTCAAATTTGACTTTTATGAACTCTCAATTTTTCGATTTTTCAATTAATCGATGTTTTGATTTTCCCATTTCTTGACCTTCGAGTGTTTCGATTTTTCTGTTCTTCAATTCTTTAATTTTTTGATTTTTCAGGTTTTTGATTTTTCAATTTTTCGATTTTTTAAGGTTTCTATTATTCGACTTCACATTTTTGATTTTTCGATTTTTCAGTTTTTAGATATTTCAGTTTTAGGATTTTTCAATATTTCAATTCTTCGGTTTTTCTATTTTTGACTTCTGGATTTTTCGATGTGTTTTACTTTCTCGATTTTTCAATTTTTGGATTTTTAAATTTTAAATTATTCAATCTTTTGATATTTTAGTTTTTCAATATTTCTTAGTCTTTCGATTTTTCGACTTCCCGGTTTTAGATGTTCTGTTTTTCAATTTTTCGATTTGTTAATTTTTCATTCCCGATTTATTGAGATTTGATTGTTCAGGTTTTCGATTTATCAGTTTTTCAATTTTTTATTTTGGCCTATTTCGGTTTCTCATTTTTTCCAGTTTTCCATTTTTTCGGTTTTTTTTTTATTTTTCCGCTTTTACAATTTTTCAACTTTTAACTTTTTGTTTGTCGATTTCTCTATTTTTCAATTTTTCGACTTCATCACTTTTCGATTTCTCGTCCTTTTGATCATTCAATCTCTCAATTTTTCAATTTTTCGAATTTTAAGTTTTTTGATTTCTCCATTTATCGAGATTTGGATTTTCCGATATTTTGATTGTCAATTTATAAATTGGTCAATTTTTAACTTTTCGATTTTTCGATTTTGGCCTATTTCGGTTTCCCAATTCTTCGACTTTTCGACTCCATGATTTCTTGATCTTTTGATTTTTCGATTTCTCGGTTTTTCGATTTTCCAGTTTTTCGATGTTTCGATTTTTCAGTTATCCGACTTTTTAAATTTGGGAGTTTCGATTTCTCAATTTTTCGTTATTTGATTTTTAAATTTTAGATTTTTGAATTTTACATTTTTTCGATTTTCTGATGTTTCATTTTTCGATATTTCGATTTTTCAATGTTTCGATTTTACGATTTTTATTTTTTTTTACAGTGTATTGAAAACAACCACAAAAATTGTCACTAAAACATTTAAAAATTCATACAAAATAGAACACAGTGTTTCCAAAACATTTTCCCGAAAAAAATCCATTGGGTTATTACGATTTCAACAAAATTCTTCTTCTTCTTCTGAACGCTTAGAGTCGACATTGGCCTGAGCGCGCTCTGGTCTGTAGATCAAACAAGTTCTCAGGCGGCAAGTTGTAGTGAAACAAGTTTTTTTTATTGGCATCGATTATTTAAATTTGGCGCTTGCCTTTGGTGGTTGAGGACTCCAATGTCAATAAGGGTGGTTTTGCAAAATCAGACTGTATGTCGCATCTATATTAATCTATGAACGAACTATACCTGGTTTATTTTCGTCAACTGACGTGTTTGTTAATTTTATATCAAAAAAATAAAAATACAAAATAACTTAGATGGATTAATAACGGTACTGTACGTTATTATAATCTGAATTAGTGAAACTTCAACTTGTCAAAAAAAAAAAAATACAAACCACTTACTTGCTTACTTCTACCTCTTTCCCTACTGTACGTTCGCATGTCAAAAATAAAGGTCAGTCATTGTCAACCCGGTACCACTTACTTGCGTTTATGCTCATCCTCCAAAATTTTCTCCTCCACCAGTTCCAACATTATCGCGTTTTTTTTATCTACCTTATTCTGTCTTAACATTTTAACCCCGCAGTCGAGTTGCAACCCCGTCACAATGATGGGGTTGTAGACCAGATCGTCGATGAAGTACCGCCGCATCTTGGTCATCTTCAGCTCCGACTTCTGTACGTCAAAGGCTAATTTTCTCTTCACTAACTCCATCTCGTCTTCAAGTTTTTGGTCGAGGAATTCGGTGACTCGCGGATCGATTTCTAGTTGTTCCACTGGAATCCTCTGGCTTGGAAGAAGTTTTTTGTTGCGACTTAGCAACTTGGTGAACATTTCTCTCAGCTTGCGGAGCTTCTTCCTGTAGATGTCTTTGTTTTCGGCTGCCAGACGGTCTATCCGGTCTTGTTCCTTCTTCAGACTTGCCTGCTCCAGACTTAGTTTGTGGTAGAAGGAAGAGTCTTGGATGGGTGTAGGGTACAAGTATCGGGGGATTGCGGTAGGGATGTTTTGTTCAGGAATGTAGTCGTCGTCTTCTGGTTGAAAAGTGTACGAAAAAACGTTGCCGTCGTGGCCACAAGAAAAGAAAAATTTTTCGTCGTAGCTGAAGCACATGTTCGGGACGAAACCATTCTGGTTGTCGTGCATCGGCAAAGACCAGTAGTCTTCGAGGTTGTGGTAGTCACGATCGGTTAGTTTGTTGACGCGCATTTCGCCGTGCTGCATAGCGAAAATGAGGTACTTCTTATTATAACTGAAAGAGTACTGTCACTGGGTGGCACAAATCGCACGCAAATGTTTTGGGCGGATCATTTTTGCCGGTCGTCACCGAAGGAGGCGGTCCAAATCGTCCAAGGGCAGAATTTGTAGGTAGGCTCAAAGTACAACGAAATTTACGTTTACTCTGAATTAGTTTTAATTTTATAAATACCCTATCTAAAATGTTCAGAATATGATGAGTCTATAGTTGTGATTTACCATTCCATTTATATTTTTTTGATTTGTTTATACATACAGGGTGACTCAAAAAAATAATGACTGAGTCAATTTATTTTATTGAAGAAATCAAGAATTGCAAAACTGAATACTTTGAAATCTTGTCAATTAGTTAGAAAAAAAAAACCTGTCCTGCTCTAATAACATCGAGAATATGCTCAAAATCACACTAATATCAGGTCTAATTGTGCCGACCATAGTTATAAAATTCACATTAAAGTAAGTCACGGACATTTTTTGAAGTGTACTACATTTCAAAAAGCAAAAAAAAAATGTTCAGTTTATAAATTTCATAATTTTGGTTTGAAGTTTATCAATCATATTTGACGCTTTATTTTATCCGTTCCGACATCTTTTCGGTGACAAATTTAATCTTTGCATACTTCAGCGTAGTTAGTGAACTCGTTGTGACCACTGAAATATACAAAGAGTAAATTTTGAAATGGAACGAAAGTCGAAGAATACTTTCAAAGCCACGATCAAGATGTATTTGCTTATCTTCGCCAAAAAATGCATGACGTCATCGTAAAATTTGATATGATGAGTCTATACCTGTGATTTATCATTGAAGTAATATTTTTTAGATTTACTTATACAGCCTGTCTCAAAAAAAGGTCACTTCGATTTTCGATTTTTCGTTTTTTCGACCAACAGTTTCATCGAATTAGATTTTTCAGTTTCCATTTTTCCATCAACTTTTCGATTTTATTACTTTCTAATTTTCTGATTTTTCAAATTTGCGGTATTTTGATTTTTCGAGTTCAGTTTTTTCGTTTTTCGATTTTTTAATTTTTCGTTTTTTTGATTTTTCGATGTTTCGATTTTTTAATTTGCCATTCTTTCAGTTTTCGATTTTTCGTCTTTCCATTTTTAGATTTTTTGATTTTTTTGTTCGTCAGTTTTTAGACTTTGCAATTTTTTTGCATTTTTAGATTATATTTTACTTTCCGATTTTTTTGATTTTTGAATTCTCGATTTTACGTTTTTAATTCTTCAATTTCCGATTTTTCAATTTTCCGGTTTTTTAATTCTTCTATTCTCGATTTTTCGATTTTCCATTAATCATAAATTTTTTCGATTTTTCGGTTGTTTTATTTTTCGACCTTCGATTTTTCAACTTTCGATTATTCGATTTTCCATTTTCTGATTTTACGATTTATGGTTCTGCAATTTGCAGCTTTTAGATTTCAATTTTGTGACTTTCCGATTTTCCACTTTTCGATTTTTTGATTTTTTTTCGATCGTCGTTTTTTCCATTTTCATTTTTTCGATTTTTTGATTTTTCAATTTTTAGGCCTTCCAATTTTTTTACTTTTCGCTTTTTCAAGTATTTGTTTCATAGAATTTTCAATTTTTCGAGTTTTCGATTTTCGATTTTTCGGTTTTTCCATTTTCCGATTTTCGATTTTTCGATTTTCCATGTTTAGTTGTTTAGATATTTTTCGATTTTTTTTTATTTTTCGATTGTTCTGTTCGTCAGTTTTGAGACTTTGCAATTTTTACTTTTCCACTTTTATATTATTTTAGTTTCGGATTATTCGATTTTTGAATTTTCGTTTTTTTTTTTCATTTTTAATTTGTCGATTCTCGATATTCCAATTTTCGATTTTTCGATTTTCCAATCTTCGATTTTTCAATTTCCAGTTTTCGATTATCCACTTTTTGATTTTAGGATTTTTCGATTTTTCTGTTCGTCAGTTTTTAGGCTTTGCAATTTGTTTACTTTTCGATTTTCCAGTTTTTTGATTTTTGAATTGTCGACTTTTAGAGTTTTCAATATTATGAATTTTCGAATTTTCGGTTTTCCTATTTTTCGATTTTTGATTTTTCCATTTTTCGGTTTTTTGATTTTTCAATTCTCGGTTTTTCAATCTTGCAAATTTTCGATTTTTCAGATTTGTGAATTTCTAGTTTTTCGATCGACCTACGTATTAGATTCATTGAATTTTCGATTTTCGGTTTTTCCATTTTTAGATTTTTGATTTTCCAGTTTTGCATTTTCAGATTTTCTGTTTTTCGCATATCTGATTTATCAAATTTTCGATTTTTCGGCTTTTCGATTTTTCGATATTTGATTTTCGAATTTTCGATTGTTCAGTTTTCCATTTTTCAGCTTTTAGACTTCAATTTTTTTACTTTCCGATTTTCCAAATTTTCGAGTTTCGATTTTCAGATTTTTGATTTTTCGATTTTCTTTTTAAATCTTTGAATTTTTCGAATTTTTGATTTTTAATTTTTCCATTCTTCGGTTTTTAGACTTCAATTTTCTTTCTTTTAAATTTTTCGATATTCTATTTTCCGCTTTTCAGAATTTTCGATTTTCAGTTTTCAGACTTTCGATGATTAGAATTTTGGATTCTTCAGTTTTATGATTTTTCGATTTTTAGAAAATTTGAGTAGTCGAATTTTCGATTTTTCAATTCATCGATTTTTCTATGTTCAATTTTTCAATTTAAATTTTGCGATTTTCAATTTGTCCATTGTCGATTTTTAGAATTTTCGGTTTTTCAGTTTTTCCATTCTCAACTGTTAGACTTCAATTTTGTTATTTTCCGATTTTTTGGTTTTCGATTTTCCAATTTTCAGAATTTTTAAGTTTCTTTATTCAGATTTTCCATTTTCCACTTTTTCGATTTTAGATTTTTCGAATTTTTGTTTTTCCAATTTTTTTTACTTTTTATATTTTGATTATTTTAATTTCCGATTTTTTTATTTTTGTTTTTGGTTTTTTTAATTTTCAATATTACAAATTTCTGACTTTTCGATTTTTTGGTTTTCCCGTTTTTCAATTTTCGATTTTTCGATTTTTGAGGTTTGTGAATTTCCACTTTTCGATCGACCTAGGTATTTGATGCATTGAATTTTCGATTTTTTGATTAGCCATTTTTAGATTTTCGATTTTTACGATTTGTATTTTTTGATTTTCTGTTTTTTGCATTAGTGAATTTCAGTTTTTCCGATTTTTGATTTTGCGCATATTTGATTAATCAAATTTTCGAAAAAGTTACCATGCTTACAAAAACTTCAAAACATCTACAATATTTCAAAGTATTCAGTTTTGCTATTCTTGATTTCTTCAATAAAATAAATTGACTCAGTCATTAACTTTTTTGAGACACCCTGTATAACCAAATCTAAAAAATATTAATGCAGTGATAAATCACAAGTATAAAACTCATCATATTTTATACATTTAAGATAGGATTTATTCTCCAAAATTTTGAGGTGACGTCATAAATTTTTTAGAGGGGATAAGCAAATATATTTTAATTAAAAATGTATCATGTTTATCATGATTTTAAAACATCTGCAAAATTTCAAAGTATTCGATTTTGCAAATTCAAAATTAAATTGCAAAATATTGTTTTATAATTTTGATTTTTTTCCAAAAATCTAGACGTTTTGGATAAAAACTCAACACGGAGTCATAAACTACATGTGTAGGACTATGTTACTGTATACAATTTATAAACTCATTTACTAAGCATAAATTTGAAGGCAAAAACGATCCGCCCATAGGCTCAAAACATTTGCGTGCGATTGTACAACATGAGCTAAGATTACTTGTAGGCGTAGCTGCTGATTTCGATGTCGTCTGCGTCTGGTACCATTTTAAAAAAGTACGGTACTTCTGTCTTTTGGTCAATGCGGTACTCGTAGATGTAGCCGGCGTCGTAGCCGCCCATCGACAACCAGATGGTACCACTATCGGTACTTTGCATCCAAATAATCCGATTAGGAACCTCAGGGATATGGAGAGGTTCTAACTCTTCCTCGGTTTCAGAATCGGCTGAAAAGTACTACTGGGTTTCGGTCTTTCAAACGACAGTACGTTTTTTACCGAGGAAAATTTCTTCATCGATGTCTAAACCAGGGTTCTCCGCTTTCAACTTTTCCATCGCCACTCTCTTCTTCGCCACTTTTTCCGCCTTCCTGGCTTCGATCTCCCGTATTTTTATGTCCCGTCGAATCTGGGCTTTGTAAGTCGTGAATTTATTGACCTGGGGCTCGAGTTTGAGCAAGTACGAAACGGTGGTGTAAGCTTGTGGTTCTTTGGGGGCTTTCACTTGGACGATTTCTCCGTGGAGACACCCAACCAGAAGCTCGTCCGCCTAGTTACACTCTCAGTACTAGTAGTCGTATTTGTCGGACTTACCTTCTGACAATGCCACGTCATACAAGTAACAATATTCGGTACCCGTATGTACCCGATTGGTACTAACTCCACGTTCGTTTTCGCTAACACCTGGAAAAAGAAAATGGTGCAGTCCTCACCACCTGTCACCAGAATCGTGTTCGAAGGGTTCATGGTGATCTTCGTGATGGGTTTGTCGTGAGGTTTGGTCGCATAAACAACCATGAGTTTCACTTCTTGCTCTTCTATGGTGAGAATCGACACTCGTATGGTACCGTCGTCGAAACCCATGATGAGTTCGTCGCCGCTATGCGAAATCTACGACATTTTTATTGGTGCGAAACGTACAATCGCACGCAAATGTTTTGAGCCTATGGACGTCTAGATTTTTGGAAAAAAAAATCAAAATTATAAAACAATATTTTGCAAATTAATTTTGAATTTTCAAAATCGAATACTTTGAAATCTTACAGATGTTTTAAAATCATGATAAACATGATACATTTTTAATTAAAATATATTTGCTTATCCCCTCTAAAAAATTTATGACGTCACCTCAAAATTTTGCAGAATAAATCCTATCTTAAATGTATAAAATATGATGAGTTTTATACTTGTGATTTATCACTGCATTAATATTTTTTAGATTTGGTTATACAGGGTGTCTCAAAAAAGTTAATGACTGAGTCAATTTATTTTATTGAAGAAATCAAGAATAGCAAAACTGAATACTTTGAAATATTGTAGATGTTTTGAAATTTTTGTAAGCATGGTAGCTTTTTCGAAAATTTGATTAATCAAATATGCGCAAAATCAAATATCGGAAAAACTGAAATTCACTAATGCAAAAAACAGAAAATCGAAAAATACAAATCGTAAAAATCGGAAATCTAAAAATGGCTAATCAAAAAATCTAATATTCAATGAATCAAATACCTAGGTCGATCGAAAAGTGAAAGTTCACAAACCTCAAAAATCGAAAAATCTCAAATTGAAAAACGGGAAAACCAAAAAATCTAAAAGTCAAAAATTTGTAATATTGAAAATTAAAAAAATCAAAAACAAAAATAAAAAAATCGGAAATTAAAATCAAAATATATAAAGTAAAAAAAATTGCAAAGCCTAAAAACTGAAACGAACAGAAAAATCGAAAAAGCAAAAAACTGGAAAAACAAAAATTCGAAAAATCTAAAATCGAAAAAGTGGAAAATGGAAAATCTGAATAAAGAAACTTGAAAATTCTGAAAATTGGAAAATCGTAAACCAAAAAATCGGAAAGTAATAAAATTGAAGTCTAACAGTTGAGAATGGAAAAATTGAAAAACCGAAAATTCTAAACATCGACAATGGACAAATTGAAAATCGCAAAATTTAAATTGAAAAATTGAACATAGAAAAATCGATGAATTGAAAAATCGAAAATTCGACTACTCAAATTTTCTAAAAATCGGAAAATCATAAAAATGAAAAATCCAAAATTCTAATCATCGAAAGTCTGAAAACTGAAAATCGAAAATTCTGAAAAGCGGAAAATAGAATATCGAAAAATTTAAAAGAAAGAAAATTGAAGTCTAAAAACCGAAGAATGGAAAAATTGAAAATCAAAAATTCGAAAAATCAAAACCGAAAAATTCAAAGATTTAAAATGAAAATCGAAAAATCAAAAATTTGAAAATTAAAACTCGAAAATTTGGAAAATCGAAAAGTAAAAAAATTGAAGTCTAAAAGCTGAAAAATGGAAAACTGAACAATCGAAAATTCGAAAATCAAATATCGAAAAATCGAAAAGCCGAAAAATCGAAAATTTGATAAATCAGATATGCGAAAAACAGAAAATCTGAAAATGCAAAACTGGAAAATCAAAAATCTAAAAATGGAAAAACCGAAAATCGAAAATTCAATGAATCTAATACGTAGGTCGATCGAAAAACTGGAAATTCACAAATTTGAAAAATCGAAAATTTGCAAGATTGAAAAACCGAGAATTGAAAAATCAAAAAACCGAAAAATGGAAAAATCAAAAATCGAAAATTTGAAAATTCATAATATTGAAAACTCTAAAAGTCGACAATTCAAAAATCAAAAAACTAGAAAGTAAAATAATCGAAAAATCGTAAAATCAAAAACTGGAAAATCGAAAACTGGAAATTGAAAAATCGAAAAATCGAAAATCGGAATATCGAGAATCGACAAATTAAAAAACCGAAAAATCGAAAAATTAAAAAATCGGAAATCGAAAAATGAAAAAAAAAAAACGAAAATTCAAACATCGAATAATCCGAAACTAAAATAATAGAAAAGTGGAAAAGTAAAAATTGCAAACTCTCAAAACTGACGAACAGAACAATCGAAAAATAAAAAAAAAATCGAAAAATATCTAAACATGCAAAATCGAAAATCGGAAAATGGAAAAACCGAAAAATCGAAAATCGAAAACTTGAAAAATCGAAAATTCGATGAAACAAATACTCGAAAAAGCTTAAAGTAAAAAAATTGCAAGGCCTAAAAATTGAAAAATCAAAGAATCGAAAAAATGAAAATCGAAAAAACGACGATCGAAAAAAAATCAAAAAATCGAAAAGTGGAAAATCGGGAAGTAACAAAATTGAAATCTAAAAGCTGCAAATTGCAGAACCATAAAAACTGAAACAAACAGAAAAATCGAAAAACCACAAAAGCGGAAAAACGAAAATCGAAAAACCGCAAATCGAAAAATCGTAAAATCAGAAAATGGAATATCGAATAATCGAAAGTTGAAAAATCGAAGATTGAAAAATAAAACAACCGAAAAATCGAAAAAATTTATGATTAATGGAAAATCGAAAAATCGAAAAGTCAAAAATTTGTAATATTGAAAATTAAAAAAATCAAAAACAAAAATAAAAAAATCGGAAATTAAAATAATCAAAATATATAAAGTAAAAAATTGCAAAGCCTAAAAACTGAAACGAACAGAAAAATCGAAAAAGCAAAAAATTCGAAAAATCTAAAATCGAAAAAGTGGAAAATGGAAAATCTGAATAAAGAAACTTAAAAATTCTGAAAATTGGAAAATCGAAAACCAAAAAATCGGAAAGTAACAAAATTGAAGTCTAACAGTTGAGAATGGAAAAATTGAAAAACCGAAAATTCTAAAAATCGACAATGGACAAATTGAAAATCGCAAAATTTAAATTGAAAAATTGAACATAGAAAAATCGATGAATTGAAAAATCGAAAATTCGACTACTTAAATTTTCTAAAAATCGGAAAATCATAAAAATGAAAAATCCAAAATTCTAATCATCGAAAGTCTGAAAACTGAAAATCGAAAATTCTGAAAAGCGGAAAATAGGATATCGAAAAATTTAAAAAAAAGAAAATTGAAGTCTAAAAAAAGAAGAATGGAAAAATTGAAAATCAAAAATTCGAAAAATCAAAACCGAAAAATTCAAAGATTTAAAATGAAAATCGAAAAATCAAAAATTTGAAAATTGAAACTCGAAAATTTGGAAAACCGAAAAGTAAAAAAATTGAAGTCTAAAAGCTGAAAAATGGAAAACTGAACAATCGAAAATTCGAAAATCAAATATCGAAAAATCGAAAAGCCGAAAAATCGAAAATATGATAAATCAGATATGCGAAAAACAGAAAATCTGAAAATGCAAAACTGGAAAATCAAAAATCTAAAAATGGAAAAACCGAAAATCGAAAATTCAATGAATCTAATACGTAGGTCGATCGAAAAACTGGAAATTCACAAATTTGAAAAATCGAAAATTTGCAAGATTGAAAAACCGAGAATTGAAAAATCAAAAAACCGAAAAATGGAAAAATCAAAAATCGAAAAATAGGAAAACCGAAAATTCGAAAATTCATAATATTGAAAACTCTAAAAGTCGACAATTCAAAAATCAAAAAACTAGAAAGTAAAATAATCGAAAAATCGTAAAATCAAAAACTGGAAAATCGAAAACTGGAAATTGAAAAATCGAAGATTGTAAAATCGAAAAATCGAAAATCGGAATATCGAGAATCGACAAATTAAAAAACCGAAAAATCGAAAAATTAAAAAATCGGAAATCGAAAAATGAAAAAAAAAACGAAAATTCAAACATCGAATAATCCGAAACTAAAATAATAGAAAAGTGGAAAAGTAAAAATTGCAAACTCTCAAAACTGACGAACAGAACAATCGAAAAACAAAAAAAAATCGAAAAATATCTAAACATGCAAAATCGAAAATCGGAAAATGGAAAAACCGAAAAATCGAAAATCGAAAACTTGAAAAATCGAAAATTCGATGAAACAAATACTCGAAAAAGCGAAAAGTAAAAAAATTGCAAGGCCTAAAAATTGAAAAATCAAAGAATCGAAAAAATGAAAATCGAAAAAACGACGATCGAAAAAAAATCAAAAAATCGAAAAGTGGAAAATCGGGAAGTAACAAAATTGAAATCTAAAAGCTGCAAATTGCAGAACCATAAAAACTGAAACAAACAGAAAAATCGAAAAACCACAAAAGCGGAAAAACGAAAATCGAAAAACCGCAAATCGAAAAATCGTAAAATCAGAAAATGGAAAATCGAATAATCGAAAGTTGAAAAATCGAAGATTGAAAAATAAAACAACCGAAAAATCGAAAAAATTTATGATTAATGGAAAATCGAAAAATCGAAAAGTCAAAAATTTGTAATATTGAAAATTAAAAAAATCAAAAACAAAAATAAATAAATCGGAAATTAAAATAATCAAAATATATAAAGTAAAAAATTGCAAAGCCTAAAAACTGAAACGAACAGAAAAATCGAAAAAGCAAAAAATTCGAAAAATCTAAAATCGAAAAAGTGGAAAATGGAAAATCTGAATAAAGAAACTTAAAAATTCTGAAAATTGGAAAATCGAAAACCAAAAAATCGGAAAGTAACAAAATTGAAGTCTAACAGTTGAGAATGGAAAAATTGAAAAACCGAAAATTATAAAAATCGACAATGGACAAATTGAAAATCGCAAAATTTAAATTGAAAAATTGAACATAGAAAAATCGATGAATTGAAAAATCGAAAATTCGACTACTTAAATTTTCTAAAAATCGGAAAATCATAAAAATGAAAAATCCAAAATTCTAATCATCGAAAGTCTGAAAACTGAAAATCGAAAATTCTGAAAAGCGGAAAATAGAATATCGAAAAATTTAAAAGAAAGAAAATTGAAGTCTAAAAACCGAAGAATGGAAAAATTGAAAATCAAAAATTCGAAAAATCAAAACCGAAAAATTCAAAGATTTAAAATGAAAATCGAAAAATCAAAAATTTGAAAATTAAAACTCGAAAATTTGG